CGTCTCCGCTCCTCCACCTGCAGCTGCTGGGTGACCTTGGGCCAGTCACACTTCTCTGAAGTCTCTCAGCCCCACTCACCTCACAGAGTGTTTGTCGTGGGGGAGGAAGGGAAAGGAGAATGTTAGCCGCTCTGAGACTCCTTCAGGTAGTGATAAAGCGGGATATCAAATCCAAACTCTTTTACTTGCCAGCATAAAACAAATGTGGAGCAGCTTCCGGTGCTTTTGCAGGCTCAGGTTGAGGGGATGGTTTTGGTCCATGAAGCCCTCTGCAGCTTGAGATCAGGAGGACCCCTTGCACACACACCCCGATCCCGCCCCAGTCTTTAGAGTATTTATCAGAAGGCCCTCTCCAGGCTCTTCCTACTCCCAGTCAACATCCCTTCAGAAGTGAGGAGGGCAGTGCTTGAAAATAGTGGTCCCTTGGTTCAGATATCTTAGTATGGGGGGGGGGGTGCCTTGGAAGGGAAGGGCTCTAATATTATCTTGGTGTGCTCTTCCCACTGTGGCTCAGCTGGTTCCCAGACTCTGGACTTGAGGCACAAGGCTAACATGTTTTTTGTCCTCTTGTGAGCGTTTAATTAGGTCACTCCGTGATCTTTTGCTCCTGGGCTGCTCTCTTCCAGCTGCGTTTCATGGATTGCCTGCCTGCTTTTGCTGCTGCTTTTGCTGCCTGACTTCTTCGCTGGTTCACACATAGTGCCAAGCCACAGCTTAGCAGACCAAGAACCTGCCACTGCAAGTTGCTGCTTTCCCCCAAGTTTGTTCTGTTTACAGCTGCTCTTTCTCCTTGTCAAGGAAGCGTGTTGGGTTTGCACATGACATCAAGCCACAGTTGACAGAAACCATGGTTGTGAGCTGACAACAAACCATGGTTAAGCCGCTGGGCAGGGTTTGGGTGACCAAGCAAACCATAGGTGAAATGAACCATGGCTTGGCATTATCTGCAAACAAGGCTTGTTTTGAATCTGTCATGGTTCGTCACCTTGAAAACTCCTTAAGAGCTGGAAGATGGGATGTGCATTTTAGCATACATTTAGGACCATCCTCAACCTGATTGGGGGGAGGGGGAATCTTCATGCTAGACTGTGCGGCACTCAGCCAGCTGCCAAGACACGGTGGAGTCCTTGTTTTCTTCGCTTACTTAGGGACCCGGAAGTATCTGATGAAAGATTGCATTAGGTTCCAGATAAACAGCTCAGATTTCCTCCAACGCCCGACCTTAGCCGGAGCAGAGCAACACACCCGGTGCGGGGAGAGGCAGGAGGACATTTGACCCCTGGGATCACCAGCAGGATTAGGCCAGCCTTGCCTGGTGGCCTTGAACCGTTCCGGTATCCCTCCTGGGCCCTGGCATCCCTGTGGGCAAAAGGCCGACTCGGAGCTGAACAGAAAGCAGCCCTGCCCTGCCCTTTGAACTGGGCACCTGGCCCTGGACTGAATCCAGGCTGTTCACATTCCCTCCCCTCCGTCTCGGATCCCAAGGTAGACAAGATGTCAGCTGCCTGGCATCCGAGTTTGGAAAGTCAGAATGGGGCATAGCAAACGGGCTGGAGGCATTTAACCCTCCCTTCTGTGTCCCTGGCTGGAAAGCACCTAAGGAAAGTGTTCCTTCTGGCGGGGGGGGGGGGAGGCAGTTTCTGATAGGGAGTGGCTTTCTTTGGGAGGAAATGTTAAAGTCTAGTGGCCTCGATCCTGATTCTTTCTCTCCTGCTCCACATTATTTTAAACCCCCAAACTAAGCTCGCTCGTTGAATGCCAGTCCCAAGCTGGCTGTGTTTCTGTGTGTGGAGGAGCTGATCTTTCTGCCATGACTCTGATGCTCTTATGAGTCACCTGCTGCTCAGGAGTAACTAAAACTATTAGTACTAATCGGTAGTTCAGTTCTCTCCCTCCCTCCCTCCTTTCCATTTGGCATCATGAAGAGTTTTCTGGAGGCAGCGTCAGGGAAGAAGGGGCTGGTCACTTCTGTCTCTTCCACCCCTTAGGGTGGTTCCCCGTTGCAGTTCCTATGGGAGCCCATCTCTAGGGAGAGACAATGGCCTTGTGGGAAAGAGGGGACGGCCGAGCGACCTGGCAGCCTTGGGAGTGGCTATCTGATGCGCAGGCAGGCTTGCAACCGCCCAGAGGTGCCCAGAATGACAGCTTGAAGGGGGGGGGGCATGGCTGCTGGATGCAGAGGACTGTCCAGACTTCATCTATCTCTCAAGGAGGAGATGAGGAACTGCCCAGGGGATCTGTTTGGGGTACTGTGGAGGCATGAGGATAAGTCCTTAGGGATCCCTGGGTTGCCCCCTGGCCAAGCTCATTTTGGGAAAGCCGACAGGACTTTAATTCAGAAAGTACACTGGGAAGAGTTTAGAACAGGAGTCGGCAACCTAAGGCCCATGGGCCACAAGCAGCCCACAAGGGTCATTTAACCGCCCCCGAACCAAGCCTCCTGCTCAGTGAGCCCCCCCGCTCTGTGCTAAACTGGTGCAGTACGGCACGGGGACTCACTTCCGCAGCGCCGGAAATCGTGTCTGTGCAGACGCAGATGCCGGAAATTGCGGGCGCAAGCGCAGTCTGGCCCACAGAGGGATCTCCGCTGGAGTAAACCGGCCCAGGTGAGGTATACCTTGCCAACCCCTGGTTTAGAAGAAAAAGGGCAACAGGGAGGAGCATCTGATAGGCTTCAGCACCCTCTCTGTCCACCTGGGTGTTGGGGACATTTGACTTTTAGCTGCTACCCTCTGAAACAGGATGTGTGCCTTGGTGGAACAAGAGGAGAGGGTCTCTGGTGGGTCAAGGAGCAGGAATAAATGGACAGGCCTCCAAATAGGGAGTTGTAGCAAGTGGAGTCTCCCAAGGACCAGTCTTGGGACCTGTGCTTTTTAACTGTTCATGGTCAGTTAGCGGGGAGCAGTGGGGTTGCCAGGTTTGCAGATTGTTCAGGGTTGCTAGAACAAAAAGAGATTATGGAGAACTTCAAAAGGAACCCTCTCTCCAAACGGAGTGAATGGGTGGCAAATGGCAAATGCAGTTCAGTGTCAGAAAGTGTGAACTGATGCACATCAGGGCAAAAAATAAATAAATCTGAATTCCACATAAATGTCCCTGGGGTCTGAACTGGCAGGGATTGTTGAAATTGCAACGAAAACTGCCAATACTGGATGTTGGAAACTGAATGTTGGAAAATTGAGGACCAATACAATAAAGTCCTCCTTCTTGCAGAGCACAGTTAAATGATGGCACTTGATCAGTGTTAGAAACTCAGATATATAAGCTAGGTGCCAAAATGGTTCTTTAAACCAAGGTTGGAGTCGCCAAAACAGAATTTTGCCATTTTGGGGCAAGACTAAAGTCTTATTTTTCAACGGATGGACTGACTGTGATTGATTCTCAGTTAAACATCTGGCTGGTTCCAATGACAACCCTGAGCTCGGTTAAGAACTTTGAGAACTTAAAGAAGAAAAGTCACTTGGCCCAGGGACAGTCAACTTATACACCGGCCTATTCCTACCCCTTTTTCTTAATGGTGACAAGGACGATTCATAACATAAGAATATTATTCACAACTGTGAGCAGGGGGGTGGGGTAACTGAAGACAAATGACAGTAATTAGCTATAACTTTGTTCCCTGCTCAGACTGCACAGAAAAAGCATTTTGATTCCTGAAATTCATTCTGATTCTGCAGATAAAATATAATGGATAGAATTCTACAGGATGGAGTATTAGTCGAGATCCAAGGATCCCTAGGCATGCGCCTCCAGATGGTGGAGATGTCAGGTCCCACGAAAGAAAAGGAAAAATGTGGAGGGAAGAGGGAAGCAGGAAAACTCGGGACACTTCCTTCTTACTGCTAGAATGTTCTTAAGGCCTCGGAGATTCCCAAGAAAAACCAATGACCCTCCCTTGATTGTCTTCTGGGGCCAGGCTGGGCTCTCTAGGTTCACAGGGTTGCAGTTGACAGCATTGCTGAATTGAATTTGACCGGGGGGGGGGGGGCTCTTTGTGGGCAAAGAGGAGCCCTCTCCAACTGGGGAGGGACAGCTGCTCACTATCTGCCGCCGCAGCTGCTGCTGTTCCTCCAACTTAGACAAGGACCTGGTCCTAACAAACTTGGCACGTGTGCAAAAGAAAGTAAAATCTGGTCACATTTAACCTCAAAAGAAGAAACTAAAATGAGGAAATCAGTTGCAAAGAGTTATTCTTCTTCCTGCTGCCAATTATAGTAGAGTGCCTGCAAGTTATTCCAGTCCTATGGCTGTTCTCCTCTGGTCGGCCACCGCAGGCCGGGAACAGGAAGTGTGCTGGACCTCCCTTGCTTCCTTGCTCAGCCTCCCCCAACCTGCTCCCCTCCAGATGTGGGGCTGCAATTCCTGTCACCCCCCCCCCCCAGCATGGCTGAAGGGAGTTGGGAGTCCAGCTTTGTCTGAGTGGCCAAAGTGCTCCACGTAATACGTTTCCTCTGCCGCCTCTCCAAATGGTTCAGCGACTGCAGGCACTTCCAGAGACAGGAGGTGTGTGAAGGCAGGGCATTGGTAGCCAGAGATGTTGCTGGCCAGCCGGGTGTAGGCAAGAGATGCTGAGGTTCAGCTGTACTGGGATGGGGTGTCCTCTGAGGAGCAACTGGGTGTCCCATGAGGTGCCTGAAGAATATGCTTGAATTGCCCATGACAACTCCTTAGAAGGCAAGTTTGCACCAGCTGCTAATCTCCAGGAACAATTACTCTGTGATTACTTGTTCTTGTGAATGTGTGGGGAAGACAGATGGTTGTGTAAAGTCTTTGCACTGGAAGCAAGTGGGGCATTTCCCCTTGATAGCCTTCTGATGAGGCAGCGGAAGATGTTCTAAAGAGGTCCAGAAGCAGCCTGCAAAAAGGACAGGGTGCAACCCCACACCCCACTCCTGGAAATAACCTTTGGGCAATTGCAGGTCCACTAGGAAGAGGCCCCAGCTTCCTTTTTCGCAAGGCATAAAGATCTGGACCCCTCACCGATTGTGTTCTCTCCTTGCATGGAGTCTGGACTTGAAGGAGAAGGTCCCCGGGGTGGAGAGCTTGGTGTTTTGGGATTCTTCTTTGGCGCTGAACTGCAGGCGGCAGTTGCTGTGATTCTGAGGGTCTCAGGCAAGGAGAAGTGTGTGAAAGCAGAGCATCTTGGCGGAGGAGAGTCTCCAGGTGTCATAAGAGCAGAAGAAGAGCCAAAGGAGGGCTCCTGGGATTGGCTGGGCACAGGAATACCAAAGAAAAGACAATGGAGAGATCCGGTCTCCTGTTTTATTAAAGAAAGGGGTAGACTCACAGCAAGTCTCCCAGCCTTTGCAGACGCAGGATGGACACCACAGCAAGGAGACCTCGGTTTGTCCGCACCCTAGAAAACGTTCACACATTCTTTATACACAAAGCAGCATCCGTCCCTCTGCCTAGGACTCCCCGTTGCTTCACCTGCCCACCAGAGGGCAGAGGCAGCAATAGTCAAACCTTACCATCAGCTCCCCTTTCTGGGCTCAGCCCAGCACCGCAAAGCCCACAGATAAGGAGAACATCCAAGCCAGTCTATTAGCCTGTGTCAAAGCAAGCAAATATGAGCATATATGAGCTCACTGCTACAACCACTACCAGTTAATTGTGGGGTTGACTACCATCATGGCGTTAGGGAAGCTTTCAGAACAGCTCAGCTTTGGTTCAACACCCTGGATGAGGCCCACCTTGTCCAGCCTCCTGTTCTCACACTGGCTAGATGCCTGTGGGAAACGCACAGGTCAGATTCGAACACAAGCCCTCTCCCTTCTTGCGGCTTCCAGGAATGGCTATTTGGAAGCATATACTGTTCCCAACTGTGGAGACAGAGCAGAGCTGTCCTGGCTAGTAGTCACTGATGGTCTCCTTTGCCCAATCCTCTTTGGAAGCCGTCTCACTTGGTGGCATCCCTGCCTCCTGGGGGAGGGAGTTCCACAGGTGAACTGTGCACTGTATGAAGAAGGACTTTCTTTGGTCTGTCCAGAATCTTCCCAGATGCCACGGCTAGTTCAGGACACAGACCCTGACTTTAAGGAGCCCAGAAGAGTTTCCTGCAGCCGTCTTGCGCTGATGACTTCAACACACCCTGTTTTGATGAGCTTCACATCCTCCCCTTTGTCTGCCCTTCCTGTGCTCCTCCTGAGAGTGCCCCAAAGGAGGCAGAGCGGGGGGGGGGGGGTTGGTGGGGGTCCAGAGCCTGCAAGAGCGCTTTGGCCCCGCGCCACCAGGAAGGAAGGCTGCTGAGAACGAAGAGGGGTGACTGTTGGTGGCTGCTATGGCAACAGAGGCAGGAAGAGAACCCGGCCTCCTTGGCAGCAGTTGGGCGCTGCTCCTGCCGGCCGCCGGGGAGGGTGTGGCCGCCTTGGTCCTGGCCTGCTGGGCGCTCTCTGCATGTGCCAGGCGGGCCGCAGGAGGGCAGGCTGCCGGAGCAGTGTAGGGAAAGCTGCCGCCGGGGGGGTGAGAAGGGCCTTTGTGGAAATGGGGGCTGGGCCAACATGGCAGAAGACCCCTCCCTCCAGTTGCCTTCTGCTTGGTGGTTAAGAGCATGGGCACAGAGCCCAAAGACCCTCTTGGCCCCAGGTTGCAAACGCTCAGCTGTGGAGTTGGGCAGGGCAAGGGCGTCTTGGATGCCCCTCTCGGCCAGGTAGCCCAGAGGGAGGCAGGCTGGTTACGCGGCCGAGGGTTTGTGTGTGTGCCCAGAGGGTCTCTGGTGTGGAGATCAGCCCTTCCCGTGCTTGGCCAGGAGAAGGCTGCTCCCCAGGGAGCTGAGCAGTGGCCCGGCGGGGGCATCACCTTCTCCTCCTGCCCCTTGGCAGCCCCCTGGGGGCGGGTGTGGGCTGGAGCCAGGGGCGCAGGGGCTGACACGGCTGGCTGGGGCTGGCCTGGGGGATCACTTTAGAGTTCACCTCTCCCCTTGGCGTCCTGCTTTTCTTCCAGGGAGCTCAAAGCAGCCCGCATGGTCTCCCCTCCCCACGTTCCCCTCTCAGCAACCCTGCAAGGTAGGTGAGCGTGACCTGGCCTTGCCAGCCCTGCTCCTGCGCTCTGACCCCGAGCCACTTGCTCCACTTCAATGGGTTGTTCTCTGCTTTTCAGCAGATTCTGAGGGCTGCCTGGGGAGACCAGCCCCTCCCTGGAGACCCTCTTCCTCCTCCCCTGGCAAGGAGATCTGGGAGCAGAGCAGCAGCAGCAGCAGGAGGAGGAGGAGGAACCCCGGCTCCTGCCTTGTTTGAACCGCCGCTTGCTTGTACCTTTGGGAGACCAAACTCCGGAGGGCGGATGAAGACCCAAGTGTGGGTCACGCCGGCACCCCTGTTTTTTATTCTTGTCTGGGGGGAGGGCTGGTTAAAAAGAGGACAGCAGAGAAGAGGGTGGGAGCCAGGTGTGAACTGGGGTGCACTTCTGCTGCTCATGGCTTTTCAGTCCTCCTCCCATGGGGGGGTCCTGCAGGGTGTTCTGCCTTGGATGCCGGGGGGGGGGGTGCTGTGTATTTTTGTGGCTGCTGTATAGTTCCCAGTGCCCCCCTGCCCCCTCCCCATTTACTTATGAGCTATGAAGAAGGGAGGGGGGGAGTTTCTTATTTATTTATTGCATTTTTGTCTCACCTTTCTCCAAGGAGCTCAAGGTGGGATACACAGTTCTCTTCATTTAATCCCCACAACAACCCAATGGGGCAGGGTTGGGCTGAGAGGCGGGGACTGGCCCAAGTTCACTGGGTGAGCTTCATGGCCAAGTGGGAGGACTTGAACCCGGGTCTCTCCCAGGCGCTAGCCTGACGCTCTAACCATTATACCACACCGGCTCGACTCAACGTCCCTGAGGAGAAGGCTCAGCAGATTTCTTGGGGCAGGCAGTTCCCCAGGTGCAGTGCTGAAAACGCCACCGTGCGCCTTCTCGGCCAGAGCATCTCGGGTGGGCATGTGGTGGCGAAGGAGCCAGTCGTAACTGGGTTGCATTGCTGCAGGCTCCCTTGGGAGGAGAGTCTGGACGCTTCAGGCAGCGCAGAATTCTGGCCCCAGGATGTTGGCCTGAGCTGCGTCTGCAGAGCTGGCAACTTCCTTGCTGCTCTGTCCCCAACCGTGCCAGATTCGCCTTTGGCAGGGATGCTGGGCAGGCTTTGGAGCTGCCTCCTTCTGGCCTGCTCCCTGCGCCTTCGGGGGCTTTTCCAAGGGTGCTGAGGCTGCTTTTTGTGATTGTTTTGCTGCCGATGTTGCTGGGTTGCTTCCCTTCTCTCCCTGGTCTCTGTAAGTGCTTTTTCATCGCTCCTTGTGGTGCTTTGCAGGTTGTTTGTTAGCCATCCTGGGGAGAAGAGAGTTTGAAATAGAAACAAATCAGATCTGAGCAGACAGGATCTTGGTTTTGTGCAGCCAGCACTTTGAACTGGACCCAGAAATGAACCGGATGCCAGTGAAGCCGATACTTCATGCTCTAAAAATCTGTATGACTTTGGAAGAACCGTGCAAATGTAGGTTTGATGCCAGGGGTGGAGCCTTACAGGTCCCTGAGCATCTTGGGCATTTCTGGCCCTTCAGTATCCCTGTTCCAAGGGCTGAGTGCCAGGTGATCAGAACATCGGCCTCCACACCACCCAACCCACATGCTCAGATCAGTGCTGGAGGCCCTGCTTGCCGTCCCCCCAAGGACGTGAATTAGAGACAGGGCCTTCTCCGCAGTGGCCTCTCGTTTCCCTCTTCAGTTGCGGTGTTTTAGGTGGGATTGAAACCCCGCCTGTGTTGTGTGGCTTTTAATGGTTGCACTTGATGAACAGTGTCGTTCTGGAAATGTTTCTTATAGGGCTGGACTGTATTTCACTGGATTGATGGGCTGGTGGGGTTTTGTATTTTACAAGTGTAGTTAACCGGTATTATTTTTGATGGTCAGAGCCATTTTGACCGTCTGCACATGCGCAAGCGGCGAAACCCGGAAGTAACACACTCTGTTACTTCTGGGTCGCCGCAGCGCGCAACCCGAAAATACTTATCCCAAAGCTACTTCAACCCGAGATATGACTGTAAGTAGCAATAGCAGCCGTCCGTAGGCTTGAGAAAGGACGGGTGGTGCCTGGTCAAATGTCTAAGTCCTGAGCTGGATTTTGTGGCTAGGGGCTGCCTCTTGGAAGGGGGTGGGCTCTGCTCAGAACCTTGTTCCTCTCCCGGCTTTCATTTCCCCAGGTCTTTTCCGCCCTCTGCATTCTGCCCTCCTTCCTCTCACACCCATCTTTGTAAAGAAATCACACCAAATTATGTGAAAAATGGGCTCTTAAATTGTGGGAATATATGTGAATGTACTGTTTGGTTTGCACCATGTGAGACTTCTGGGCGGAAGGGGAGGGCATTCCCCCGGACCCCCGCTCAATCTCGGGTGGGCTGCTGAGGGTGGTCTCCCTCTGCACTGCTTGAAGTTGCCAACCCTCTGTCTCTCCCCTCTGCAGCCGCGAAGTGGTGGGAGACCCGGCCGAGATGTCGCATGAGAAGAGCTTCCTGGTGTCTGGAGACCCCTTCCCTGGGCAGCAGCCGCCTGCGCCACCTGGCTATGCCCAGCAGCCCTACCCAGTGGCTCCCTACCCGCAGCCCCAGCCGGTGGCATACGGCCAGCCCGGATACCCGCAGGGCCCCTACCCGGTTGCTGCACCCTACCCACAAGCGGCACCCTACCCCCAGGCACCCTACCCCCAGGCACCTTACCCCCAGGCGCCCTACCCGCAGGGGCCCTACCCACAGGGGCCCTATCCACAGGGGCCCTACGCCCAGCCGCATCCTGGAGTCGCTGTGGACCCAGACTGTAAGTAGCCCGCTTGCCCGCCCTGCTGCAATGGTGGGGGGCAGGAAGGGGGGCTGTGGGGTCTCTGCTGGGGTGGCAGAAGAGCTGCTCCTGTGAGCCAGGGGCAAGACCACCTGGCCCTTGCAGGCAGGGAGCACTCTCCCGCCTTGTGGCTGCTTCCGTGGGGAGCTGGGCTGCCCCCAAGGAGCCTGAGCAGTGTTCCCTAGGGGGCGCTGCTCTGTGGCCCCCTCCTCAGTCTCCTCTCCTCTTCTCTTGCTGCACTTGTGCCCCCCAGCTGGAGCCAGGCGCCCTGTTTATGTGGTATGGAGAGGAGGCACCGCAGACTCTAGGATTGGTGAGCGCCCTCATCACCCCTGCCACGGGCTGGTTGAGGGGGCAGGAGGAAGAGGAGCTGCTGTTGCTCCCTCTGGAATCTGTAGGGAGAGCCGCCGGGTGGGGAGCCCCTGCCTGACTGGCTGCGCTGCTTCTCGTCCCCAGCGCCCGTGCACAGCAACTACCATGAGGATGGGCCGCCCTCCTACTATGACAACCCGGATTTCCCCCCCACCAACTGGGAGGACAAGACCATCCGCCAGGCCTTCATTCGCAAGGTGAGTCGGGCTGTGGGTGTGCAGGGGCTGTGGGGCTCCTGCCCTTCTCCCTCCCTCCCTCCTTCTGCCTCTGGCCCTGGCAATGGGGTGCAGTCAGTGTGGTGGAGTGGTTAAGAGTGGTGGACTCGTAATTTGGGGAACCGGGTTCGCGTCTCCGCTCCTCCACCTGCAGCTGCTGGGTGACCTTGGGCCAGTCACACTTCTCTGAAGTCTCTCAGCCCCACTCACCTCACATCGAGTGTTTGTTGTGAGGAGGAAGGGAAAGGAGAATGTTAGCCGCTTTGAGACTCCTTCGGGGAGTGATAAATCAGGATATCAAATCCAAACTCCTCCTCTTCAGTCCAGTCCAAGTGTGGCAGGAAGCCCTGGAAGTGCTGTGGCTGCTGGTGGAGGAGGAGGGGGGGCTGGCAGGGCGCAGACCCTCATTGGCAGGGAATGGTCAGACCCCCGAGAAGCTGGATCTGATAATGATTGGGGTTTCTTTGCATGCCACTTTCCCTTAGTTAAAACTGCAATCAAGGCAGCTCACAACATGAAGAGAGTCACATAATTCCAAAAACGGAACAATAGTAGGCAATGAATAAAAGCATATCACAACATACACAGCCAAACTAAGTCATTACTGTTGACATCCATTTGTCTCGGGAGACAATGGAGGAGCCCACCTTTGGGGGTGATGTCACTCCGTTGGAGACCGATACGGGAGAGACATGTTTTGCTGCGTCTGGGGCAGAGGAAGACGTCTGGTTGTTGTGCTGCTGCAGATGCCAGGGGGCCTTTCTTCTCTCTGCGCTCCCCCCAGCGGCCATTCCTCCTCTGGTCACTGCTGTGGATGCAGGACCCGGCTGTCTCCAGGCACTGCGCTCGTCTGCAAAGGATTCTCACGGGGCGGAGCTGATGGTGCTGCCAGCCTTCATTTGAGACACAAGGTCTAAAACTAATACCAAAAATGGGAAACGAGCGAGGACCCAACCAAAGAAGAACGGCAACTTACCATATTTTTCACCCTATAGGACGCACTTTTTCCCCTCCAAAAATGAAGGGGAAATCTGTGTGCGTCCTATGGGGCGAATACAGGCTTTCGCTGAAGCTTGGAGACTGAGAGGGGTCGGTGCACACCGACCCCTCTCGCTCTCCAGGCTTCAGGAAGCTATGAGCAAGCCTGGGGAGCCCGCGGGAGTTCCCACAGGGCTCCCTAGGCTGCGGATAGCAGCCTGCCGCCCGGCGCGCAGGGCGCTCTGCTTCAGGGCAGACATCAGCCAGCCCCACAAGCTCGGGGGACAGCGGGGAGGCGGAGTGCCGCCATACCGCTGTTCCCCGACCTGGTTTGGAGGCTGGCGCTGGGGAGAAGCGCGCTTCTCCCCAGTGCCAGCCCCACAAGCTTGGGGGACAACGGGGAGGCGGAGTGCCGCCATACCGCTGTTCCCTGACCTGGTTTGGTTTCCCCGACCTGGTTTTTGGGGGGAAATAAAGGGAAAAAATTTTCCTTTATTTCCCCCCCAAAAAACTAGGTGCGTCCTATGGGACGGAGCGTCCTATGGGACGAAAAATACGGTAAGTTGACAGAATATGCACAACTTGCAGACTTATATAGAATAAGAGAACAAGAAGAACACGTTTAAAGAAGATTGGGAAACGTTTGTTGAATATATGGGAAATAATTCTGTACAGCTGAAAACACCGGCAGCATTAAGATAAATTCAACAGTGTAAATAAGTTTTGATGGATGCAATAATGGAATACTGAATGGTGTAGTTTTCGTAAAATATGCAGGGATTTATGATATGTAAAATGAACCGTGGAAAGAGAAGAAGTCATTGATATCTCAAGGGTGTAAAATTAGTATTTTAAATTGTAAAACAGAAAATTAAATTTAAAATTTATACACACACACACACACACACACACACACACACACGGCCTAGGACGCACGTACCTACAGGACCGCCTCTCCTGGTCTGCCCCGCGGAGGACCTTAAGGTCCACAAATGACAACACTTTGGAGGTCCCAGGTTGCAAGGTAGTTAGATTGGTCTCAACTAGGGCCAGGGCCTTTTCAGTACTGGCCCTGACTTGGTGGAACACTCTGTCCCAAAAGACCAGGGCCCTGTGGGACTTGACATCTTTCCGCAGGGCCTGCAAGACAGCGCAGTTCCGCCTGGCCGTTGGTTTGGACTCAGTCTGACCCTTATGTTTCCCTCCCCTTATGGTCTTGATCTATGGGCTACTATTAAAATGAGGCTGCATTTTAAATTGTATTTTAACCTGTATTTTAAATTGGTCCCCCCCCCATTATGTTTTTATTGTAATTTTACTGGTGTGTGCCGCCCTGAGCCTGGCTCTGGCTGGGGAGGGCAGAGTATAAATAAAATTTTATTATTATTATTAATCTATCTAATACCAGAAATCAGTATCAATAACAGCAAAATTAGCATCTCCAGTATTAAATCTTGACACCAGCAGAAGCCCCTGAGCAATGACCGTAGGTGGTCCATGCAGTCCAGCTCCCTGCCTCCCGCAAGGGGCAGGAGGCACTGAAGCAGCTGCTGCCGGGGGGGGCACTCACCATGTTTTGGGCGCTGCCTGCTCTGCCCCCCCGAGTGGCTCTGGCTGGCGTGACGGAGGCTGCCTTTGTCCCCCTGCAGGTGTTCCTGGTGCTGACCATCCAGCTGTCGGTGACCTTTGCCTTTGTGGCCATCTTCACCTTCGTGAAGGGTGTGAAGGGCTTTGTGCGGAGGAATGTCTGGACCTACTACGTCTCCTACGTCTTCTTCTTCATCTCCCTCATCGTCCTCAGCTGCTGTGGGGAGTTCCGGCGCAAGCACCCCTGGAACCTCGTGGCCATGGTAAGCAGGGCAGCGGGCAGGGGGCGCGTGGTCTCAGGGGGCGGCTGCTGCTGCCATGGATTGAATTCTGAGTTGAAAAAGTCTTAGAAGCCTGCCTTGGCCTAGCCAGGCAGGCAGGCAGCAGAGATGGCTGCCCCTTGACTCAGATAGGGGGGGATGTGGGGCCTGGATTGAGGCTCACTGCTGAAGGCGCCTGCCTCTCCTCCTCCTCCTCAGTCCATCCTGACCCTGAGCCTCTCCTACATGGTGGGCATGATTGCCAGCTTCTACGACACGGACGCCGTCATCATGGCCGTGGGCATCACGACCGTCGTCTGCTTCACTGTCGTGATCTTCTCCCTGCAGGTTGGTGTGTCTGCTCTGCTCCCCTTCCCTTGGGGGGGGGGGCGACAAGAGGCACTGTTTCTCCCAGTGTGAGCGACTGGGTTGCCCAGAAGCACACCTTGGGCTGTTGGGTTGGCATCCAGGGGGGCTGTGAAGCCAAAGAGGCCTTTGCTCTTCTGGATTGTGGGTGGGTGGGGATGGCAGAATTGGCACCCAAGAGATTCCAGGCAGCGATGGCTGCGCAGGGGCTCCTTTCCTGGGGCTCTGCTTTGCTCCCTACGTCTTTGGACCCAATGGCTTCTTGATGCAGAATAAGACCCTGCAAAGCAGGCTGAAGGGCCACAGGTCAGGCAGCTGGTCTCTGGCAGTGTGCTGGTTCCCCTGCTTGCCACCCTTGCCCAGGCTGCCAGGCCGCCATGTCCTGCACTGGCCCCTTGAGGCAAACGGGCCCATGAAGAGATGGCGTTGGGGACCCTGGCATGTGGGGCAGGGGGCCTGGGCTGTGGGGTGCTGCCTGACCTCTGTCCCGGGGCTCCTCTCCTCGCTTGCAGACCAAGTACGACTTCACCTCGTGCCGAGGGGTGCTGATCGTCTGCCTGGTGGTCCTGTTCATCTTCGCCATCCTTTGCATCTTCATCCGGAACCGCATCCTGCAGATTGTCTATGCCTCCCTGGGCGCCCTCCTCTTCACCTGCGTGAGTCTCCCCGCGAGCGCGGGCCCCGAAATCCACCGGCCGGGCAGAAGGGTTTTGAGAATTAAGGGGAAGGAAGGTGCCTCTGGGGCCCCTCCCTGTTCAGCCCAGGGATCAATAGCCAATCTCTGTTCGCAAGGCCTTCTGTACAAAAGACAGCTCCTGGTTGTCCCTCCAGATTTAGAGGAGAGCTTTTTAGCTCTTGCAGTTGTCAGGTAACAGGTAGTCGGAGCCTGCTGTCGATCTGCTGCTGGCCACCCACCCAGAGATCTGTCAGCAGATCCTGATCTGCCCAGCCCTAAGTTAGAGTCCCTGTGGAGCCCCTCCTTCTCCATCCCCCCTTCACCCACCTGTGCTGCTGGAAAGAGCACCTGCCCGGCCCCCCCCTCTCTTCCTAGGATGCTGAGGGTCTGAAGGCAGCTGAGACACCATCCCAGGCCCAGCAATGGAGGGGGGGGGTTCCAGAGGAAGCAGGCTGGGGGGCCTGGGGGCGGGGTGGGGCGCAGGCCCCTTGGGCTCTCCTGGGGCTTCTTGTGACCCCCGTGACCTGCTTTCTCCCTGCAGTTCCTGGCCATGGACACCCAGATGATCATAGGGAACAAACAGCTGGCCATCAGCCCGGAGGAATACATCTTTGCGGCCCTCAACCTTTACACGGACATTATCAACATCTTCCTCTACATCCTGGCCATCATTGGGCGTGCCAAGGAGTAGGCCGCCCTCTGACCCCTTCAGGGGCTAGTTCCTTCAAGCCCTGTCTTTTGTTGTGGTTCTCCTCCTTTTTATCCCCCCCCCCCCACGTGGGGTCTCCCCCGCCCCTCCGCCCCGGTTTTTGTTGTGTTCCTGCCCGTCCCTTGAGTTTGAGTTCATTGCCTCTTCCCCCTCCCTGTCTTGTGCTTTTCTGGGGAAGGATACCTGAAAAGAAGGGGTAGTCCAAGGTAGCCAATGCCCCCCCCAACCGGGGAGGCAGCGCTCACCTCCAGCCTGCCGTATGCTGGTGTCAGTTTTTGGAAAGGAAGGGCTCCTCTGCCCTGCGTCTCCCTTGGGCTGTGCAGAGTTCGGAAGAGGATGTAAATACGCTGTGCTTGTCTCTTTTGTATTTTGGTCTAGAAATGCTAATTTAATTTTGAGGAATGTCCTTGTCTTGGGCGTGCCACTCACAGCCGCTTCTTCCTGTGGGTACAGGGCTGTTCTGGGGCTCTGGACACACGCAAACCGCCCCCTGCCTCTTGGCTGGCAGCGAGGTTCCCCACCCCCCCTTGCCACCTTCCACCCCCACCCCTGAATGATACTGATACGGGTGCCGCTTCCTGTCCTGCCCAGGCTGGCCTCCCACGTTGCTGGGCTCTCCTGTTCCAGCCACTGTGGGGGCTGAGTGCCTGGATGATGCCCATGTCCCGTTTTTACAAATATCGTCCAGAAAAGTAGGGGTGGTTTCTCCCCTCTAGCTCGGGGGGCAGAGACTGCTCAGCTGCCTTTTCTCAGGCTCCCCTTGGGGCGTGCGGGGAAGAAGCCTTCCTTGCTCCTGGCCCTCAAACACTTTGCTTTTATACAGAGCTGTGAAGTCTCCTGACCCTTTTTGTCTGGGGACCCTGTACCCCATCCTTCCTTCTCCCCTTCTTCTCCCCCCTCCCTGCCCCCCGCAATCTGGCTGGCTTTAGGGGGACCCTGCACTACTGCATGCTAGCAGCCACTACCGTGCCCCCAGGGCCAGCCTCTGCACTAAACTGTAAAAATAGGATGTCCTAATAAAAGTGAGAATGTACCAGATATCGATAGTCCTCGGTTCTGTCTTTGGGGCTGGAGGGGAAAGGTTCTTTTCAGCGCTGGGGGGTGGAATGCTGCAGGGCCAGCCATCCCTGCAAGGAGGCTGCAAGGCAGGACGCAAAGACCAGGAGCCTCTAGAGTCCTGGGGCTGGATAGGGAGTAAATCTCTGGGGCTGAACCTCTGCTGTATATTGAGGGGCTGCAATGAGCACAGGAATGCACACATCCTGCAGCTGTTGGCATGTTGACAGGCACCGGCGGCTGCTTAGGGAAGCCAGCTCAGAGTAATTGGATTTGCCCGAGATGTAATGTGGCGTGTCCAGGTTAACACAGCAAGTTTCGAAGCTGCTGCTGTGCTATTGTAGTAACAAAGGGCTGCAACTCCAGCGCTCCTTGGAGGAAGCAGTGGCAGTTCTGCAAAGAGGCTGCCTTTCTCAAGGGCTCTGCTCCCCTTCCCCATCCCAGCTTGGAATGCTTGCGCTGCCCCCACCCTGCCCATTTCCTTGTATGGTTTATCACTGGCACCATCTTTTCCGCCAAATGAGAAGAAGCTCAGAGTGTCATCCCCAAACACCAGCAAAAGATTTCTCGGTAGCTGGACATACAGACCTACAGTTTTTAAGCCCTGGTCTAGTATTGGCTGAAAGATAAAACAGATTTTTAAGAACGTATATATTCAGGGCAATTAGGCAGGATTTATGAAAAAACACAGGTTTAACATCAAATATCCAGAAACCTTTCAAAAACAATTCTCTAAAGTTAGAAGCCAGAAAGCATTTGACAGAATGGAACAGAAGTACTTATTTCGGGTACTGCAAAATCTAGAACGAGTGTCAAATCTTGTTACATTTGAAGGGAGGAAATGGCCATTTAACAAATAACTTGGGCGCAGGCAATATAGCATTGGTATTTTAAAAAATCCAAGTGGTTGACACAAGTAAGGAACTTTGAAATTATCCAAGATTGCAAAGCGTTAATCAAACACTACCATTCTAAATGAATGCAACAAATAATAAAATATCTGCCTAGGTTGGAAAATTTGAATTTCTTCTGGGCTGGAAGGCCAGTTATAAAAATGAGCAAAATGCCACAGAACGTCCTTGTATTATTAAATATTGCACTTAGCAATTTCTTACTTAAGAAATTGTAATTTTATTTACTTTCCTTGGGGGGGGGGGAGCATAGGGTAACCTAAAAAACCCTTTACCAACAGTGATTAGTAGGAAGATTTGCATTCCCAAATGTAAAGTGTTAAATTACCACTCTTTGTTAAATTACTACACATTGGGGCATTATAAGAACATAGTTTGAGAACTCTTGCCACACAAAACAAATACATTTATCAACTAAAATTGTCCGACATAATAGTAGGAAAGATCTTGCAATAATTAAATTCAAATCCCATTACTAGAGTCATTTGTAAGATCTGGAGAGAGTTTAGGAACAAGTTAATCCCAGGCTACCTGCTTCTTGCTGCAGTCTTTTAGAATATGGAATGTGAGGGGAAAGACCAGTTAGTTGAAATCCTGGGAAAGAGATATGACTAAATTAAAGTCTGTGATGGAAGAAGAGTTAACATATTAAAAACATATTTGATTTATATACCGCCCTGCACCCGGAGGTCTCAGGGCGGTTCACCAGCTGAAATGTGAGATTGATTGGAAATAACTGACTTTTTATGAAAAACTTACAGATAAGGCATAACACATCTAGACTTCAGAGATGGCATGAGTTCTTGAGTTATTGGTCTCAAATATTTATTGATTTATCCACCCATCCACCCTTTCCCCTCAAGTCCTTGACCAGGTTACAACCATTTAAAATACACCACTGAAACAGTTTTGAAAACCTTGCAGATACAAAACAAAAACAAAAAGCTGCAATCACAAAAAATTGGGTTGGTTAATTATGTGAATAATCAGAGAATTAACCCTCATGACGTAATTAAAAGCTAAAGTGGGAAATAATCAAATTTATTGTATACCAACAGAAAAATGGAAAAATTCACTGCACAACTCTGGGCAGTGAATTTGAAAGTTGTGTTGTGTTTTTTTTAAAAAGCAAAGCTTTAACCCGATGGTATCTGACACCACTTGGATTAAGTTATAGCCAATACTCCGTGATCAATTGCAGAAAGGAAGGCATCTGAATCTATTTCATGTCATGTGAGACTGCCCAGTGCTTCAAGAATGTTTTTGAGAGTCTGTGTTGACAGAGAAAGGGAATATTCTCTGACAGAAACTACTCAGAGGTCTAGTTATTTATCTGATAGTACACATTTAATGTAAAGGTGTATATTTCTATTTTTTATAACATAACTGTTAACCTTGAGTCCCCGTGGGCTCACCACAAACTCTATTTATTATTGATTGCTCGTGTTTACTTATTCTAAAATATATTAGCTCACTGGAAATCAATATACTTCTATTTATGTCTATGTAAAATACCAAGTCACTGTAAAATACTAATAAAATTGCTGGCACACGTGTGAGTGTTGGCAAAGGATGCTGCGCGTGGTCCTGACTTGGTTGGGGTGGCAGTTGCTGTTCCCCATGGAGGCCACACGGGGGCAGCTGGTGCCACATTCCAGGGGAGTTCGGTCTGTTCAGCAAAGGGGTTGGAGCTAAACTGACTGTCCAGTTTGTATCTACATTTGGAATGTAGCGCATCCGCCATATATTGTAGAGCTGGAAATGTGCAGAAAAAGACAATGAAAATGGACAAGTGGCTTTGTTTATTTTATTTCACATTTATACACACATTGATTGCAAAAAAAACCAAAAAACCCTCAAAGTGGTTGTTGTTGTTGTTAACTTATACCCTGCCCAAGACACTCTGGGCGGTTTTCAACAGAATATAAAGAGTACGGCAAGAAGTCAAACATTAAAAGCTTCCTGAAACATAGCTGCCTTCAGATGTCTACGAAAAGTCATATGATTGTTTATCTGTTTTGACTTCATCTGGGAGGGCGTTCCACAGGGCGGGCGCCACCACCGAGAAGGCCCTCTGCCTGGTTCCCTGTAACCTCACTTCTCGCAATGAGGGAACTGCCAGAAGGCCCTCGGAGCTGGACATCAGGGTCTGGGCTGGACGATGGAGGTGACCTCCAGGTATACAGGGCCAAAACCGGTCAACAGGGCGCAGGGAATTTCCTGGGTGATGGCGATGCCCACCCTGCTTTTCTATTGCAGCTTGCCTGCCCGCCTCTCTTCCCCTCCCCCACAGGGCTCCTGAGAGCTCCAGCACACTCGGGGCTGCTTGCATCACAATCGCCGCCCGTGTCATCCCTAGCGCCAGGCTACCTGGGCTGCCGGCTTGCCTCCCTGGCTAGCAGTGGCAAGGAGAGGGGATCCTATGGCAGCTTGAACACCTGGATGGCACCCTGACACCCTTCTGGGGCACTCCCAGGCAGCTCACTATCCCTGCACCAAGACATCTCGCAGGGGATGGCCATCTTCGCTCGCTATGACGACTTAAAAAAGGAGATTGATGCCCTCGTGGCAGAAAATGACGAGCTGAAGCACCTCATACAGATGCTCAAGGAGAACCAAGAGCTCAAGTCTATCCTACGGAACCAGTACAACGAAACCAACTTGATCCCCAAGTTTGAATCTACCCGGATTGATGCCAGAAGTAAGTGCTACAGTTGATGGGGGGGGGCTCCTGTGAGGCAGGCTGGTCCCCCAGGCAAGATCTTACTCAGGAGAGCAACTGGGGGGGGGGTCAGGCCTTAGGGGACAAGGAGGAGCCCCAGAAGGTTGTCTGCAGAGGGGCACAAGCCAAGGAGCAGGACTGCTTCTGGGATGCGGAGGAGGGGAGAGAACGAAATGTTTTCCCAAAACGAGGGTTAGCACCCCATCCCAAACAATCAGTGAAACGAGTGAAAGTTGTTAAAAAAAACCAGAAGTTTATGCGGGAATATTGGCAGCTAAAGGGATTGTGAGTTTGGGGAAATGTATTTATAAATTTTATTTCTAGTCTGTTCTTCCCCCTGGGGAAAGCCGAGTAAACAATGAACAATAAAAATGTAAAGCGAAGTGAATTAATCACCACCAGAAAACTAACAATAATCAAATAAAACAGGCACCGGAAGCAAAAATGAAGTATCCATCAGGCACTCCCCCCCTTCCCCAAAGGTGGAATGTAGGAGAAGGGAGACAACTGCACCGAACCCCCTTCCCAGGAGAGCTTCATCTGCAGATCTCAACTCACATTTCAGAAATGTGGGTCCCAAATCGCTAAGGGCTTCACAGGCTTGCGGCTGGGGACTGACTCATCTTAACCTGCCTGTTCAACCCCACAGATCCGATGCTCAACAACACCTTCCAGGAAAGCCACAGCTGGGAGCAAGCCCGCTTCGCCCCCAACACCAACTTCAGGGTGACTGTACGCCGAAGGCTTCCAAGCGATAGCCCTTCTTCACCCATTTCTCCGGCGGGTGGAACGATAATAAGAAGATCCCCTCCTGGCCCACGGGTGTCCACGCCCCTCAACATGACGGACAGAGCAGCAGGACTGCAGGTCGTCCGGTTTGCTCCTGACACCACGACAGGTGAGAGCCCGTCTCGTCTCCAGGAACATGGCCAGCGGGTGCAGGCAGGGCTGGTGGCACGGGGCGAGTTGGTGTGTGTGCCAGGATGGGACCTCTGCATGGCACCAGCAGCTCAAGTGGCTACTTGAGGTGGGGATCTTTTTAGGGGCACCAATGAAGCAGCATGCAATGCAAGACTCTCTTGCTGGGTTGCCATTCTGGTACTGAGCAGGGTCCACGGGGTCCTGGGTCTCAGCTGTGCAGGTCATCATCAAAATAAGCTTCACTGGACTAGCCAAAGGCCACAACGAAACCATACAAATACTATGAGGAAAAGAAATATCTATATAACTATATATAGAAAGCAGAGCCACTGCCTGAACCATCAAGATCATAACATGCAGATGCTTGTTTTGATTGGGGACTCCACAAAGCATAGAAGAGTTTCCTATTTAGGCCTCTGAATCTTACAATTCACTGCAATTTTGTCCAGGTTCTTCCTGATCTTTTTTGTCCCCGGCACAAAGAGGGCCACATTATAAGTAACTGGAGCATTAGCATCCCTGAGCAACCAGAGTCCCCTCTCTGCCAGGGAGAGAGAGCTTTCCTGGACAAAGGATTTAGAAAGCGTCTCCCAGGTTCTGAGTATAGTGGGCACTGGAATAAATCATGCTGGATGTTCTCTACCTGCGGTTGCCCAAATACAACATCTATCTGTGTATGGAACCCTATTATAACACCTGTCCAGAGCATTCCTTGGAAACGCAAACTCAGTAAAGGCATATCCTCATGAATCTGGCAGACGTTTAGACAGGGAGTTGGCTCTAAAACACACAGTTTTTAAGAATGAAAACCATGGGGAGCATTGGGAAGATTTGATCACTTGTAAATCCCGTTGAGATTCTGTCCAGTAACATCCGTCCCTTCAGCTGCGCAGATCAAGGGAAGCGGGTGGCCATGAAGCAACTGGGCATTTTCTTGGGCATGCCCACAGTGTTACATGAACACATGAAACAGTGTTACAAGATGTGCGTCTTAACCTACATGTGTGTTCAGTGCTCATGTGCATTCCTACACTCACCACGAAGAGGTTTAGGACCTTTTGTAGAGCTATAATGTGTGTTTGTGGTGAATATGTGTTTGTTATGAATATGCACTCACCCTTACCCTCATGCCCACTGACAAGAGGAATGAAGCAAGGTTGGTTTGTTACATGAAATGAGAGCTTACGAATGCTGCTTCAGGCAGCCAAGTCACCATGTCAGCAGACAGCAGCTCCTACAGCACATGCACACCTTGGTCTAAGAGTGAAAGAAGGATCCCTATTCAAAGCCTAAAGAGGGCAGGGTATTTGTCACACTAGAAGGGAAGCAGGAAAGCGAAGGAAGCAACGCACAGGGTGCGGCTGGTCCCTGAGAGCATGGAGTGACAAGGGGATCCATGCTGGAGCTTGTGAGAACCAACCAAGCCTTGAAAACCTGGGGGGGGGGGTTTAAGTATGGTTTTGAGCCACTTTTAGGTTATGGAGAGGGGAGGAGGTCTTTGGGATGAGTAATTCCTACAATACCTATATTCTATTGTTCTGTTGCTCGCTTCTTATTAAGTTCTGGCCTGCTTCCTAATTTGTTTACTTAATTGAGAGTAGAAGGACTATGGCCCAAGTGAAAAATAACTAACTGGCTACCTTTGTTTCTTGAGCTCTAACTTTATGTATCATTGTCTACGTGGAACCTTTTCGCAGGTGATGCAAATGAAATTTTTGCTGGTAACACCAGATTGCTGTGCTGATCTGTACATAAAATCTTAGGAGATCTGAAAGCCTTCCGAGGCATCAGAGATAAACTAGATCAGCATCAGGAAAGTTCGCTGAGGGGTATTTTCTATTAAGAATATTAAGAATCAAGTTTATGCCAACTGTGCTGATATCATGGTCTACATGAATAAACCATAGGAGAAGTTCAGCTTGGCTCACACCATTTCAGCAGCACCTGGGAGAAGGTGCAGGAGCAGAGAGGAACTCCTTCTCTAGAGAAGCTAGACTGGCTCCCTCCTTGTCCTGCTGGCAAAAAACTGTTGCACCTTTGATCTCCAACAGTTTTTGAGAACTGACTTCTTTTAATGAGAGGGATGATGCTATGCTGCTTTCATTGTGATTGTCTGTATGGTTTTTAATGGATCATTGTGATTGTCTGTATGTTTTTAATGAGAATGATTTGGCAGGGATGTAATGACACTTGTAATGTGGAATTATTTATGGTAATTATGGTTCTATAATAGATGGATAATGGTAAAAGATGCAGCAAATTAAAACTTAAACATGGAACTCATGGAGGCAGGGAAGGAGAGCTGGAGGTTCTAAAGAACTTTGCATTTTAATGTTTGATATTGTTGTTTTATATGTATAAAATTATCAAAAACCCAATAAAAATAGTTAACCACTATCTTGGAATAATTCCATGTTGATCTGTAAGCGTAAATAGGTTGGCAAGTGGTAATGCACACCATTCTGTATGCTTTTTCAAAATCTCAAACAGAAATCCCGCCAGAGCCGGGGACCTTGGCAAGTTTTAGTTCTGTGATTAGTTCTATAATTTCATCTGAGCTTACCAATGGCCAATTGGGTATATTTGAGGGAACAAGCTTGTCAGCATTAGATAGAAGACAAGGTGAATCATTAAATATTTTAATTTAAAAAAAAAAAAAAAGGAATTCACCTAGGTTTGAGGGGGAATAGCATATACATTTAGAAGGAAATTGGTATTCAGATGGCCAGAAGTTATTTGCCAGGATTTATTATTGTTCATTTTTATTGCGTTTATTAAATGTGTCCATTTATTCTGATAGTATATTTTCTTTTTCTTAGCAATGAGATCATTATATAGCTTCCTACATATAAAATAGCTTTAAAAATTTGTTCTATCTCCTTTTTTGTGAGGTCCCTAAACGAAGTTCTGAGTAATATTTTCTCTGTATAGCATTCCTAGTCAAACCAAGGAGAAGGATTAGGGAGGGCCACTGATGCAGGCTTAGCTATCGTACTGCAGTGGTCTATTAATTGAGAATAAGATTATACTGCTACCTTAATAGTGTGAGTTGATAAGGGTTGTCCTCAGATGTAACATTCTATGTGAGTCCAAGAATTTGGCAATCACGCCTTCAGACTGCAGCGACCACCTAATCTTTTCAAAACGCCGTGGTCATCACCAAGTGTCCCTGCCCCCATATCTTGTTGTGGAAGGCAGATAACGGACAATCTGCGGGGGGCAGCAGGGCTAATTACCCACATATTAGCCCTGAATTACTGGCATGACTGGGGGTCCAATCTCTTGGGAGGCAGCCATATCTCACAGCAGGAAACCAGAAGTCGACCACCTAATCTTTTCCAAAACGCTATAGATGGTTTGTTCTGAGTGACCAGGCTTCGAGATTTTGTTTGCTGGTCTGCACTGCAAAGTCGAAAGTAAATGGGAATTGCCACTTTTCTGCACAAGATCCAATAGAGAAGTTAATACTGGAACATAAATATAAAGAACATAGGATGTGGGTGGCCCTGTGGTCCAAACCACAGAGCCTCTTGAGCTTGCAGATAGTAAGGTTGGCGGTTTGAATCCCCGCGACGGAGTGAACTCCCGTTGCTCTGTCCCAGCTCCTGCCAACGTAACAGTTCAAAAGCATGCCAGTGCAAGTAGAAGAATAGGTACTGCTGCGGAGGGAAGGTAAACAGTGTTTCATCTCATCATCTGAGGGAGGGAGGTAAACATTTATCAAAATTACCTATTTGTTACCCATATTTATTAGGAAAGTTTGGGATAGAGGAGGGTGTGCCAATAAGAATTGTTCCATATTGCAGACCGAATTTTATTACTATGAAAAGGCCAGCTTGCGGCGACCTTTAGAGAATGGTCTGTGGGCAGGTAGTTTGAATGAAGAGAACCCAGCAGTGTTTACCTCAGTCACTAACCAAATTTCTTGGAATAAAATACAGTTGAAACCATTGAGATATTCAATGAGCCAATAAAGGCTGAATGCATGCATGCATGAAAGACTGTTGGGAAAATTGTAATTAGCCATTGGTTATTGTTAAAGTTCTAAATGCGTGGGGAATATTAGAACAGTCTGTAATACCATATGACAGCTGAGCTACTTGTCCTGTATGATGTGATATACACAGATATACATGCACACATACTCACACATAAGCCATGAAAGTCAGTGGATGAAATAGAGTTCTTTTTCTGTAGGTGAAATCACTTTCCATGCTTCTGTGAGTACATTCTATACATTCTGTTACTCACCTTTTATAGGACAAGGAGTGAGAACTCCACACGGGGAAACACCTACTGTGGAAGGACCCAGAAGGTGTGACAACAGCCCTCTGCTCTCACTGCAATAAGCCACTTCTACCCATTTGGACTGGTTGCAACATTAAGTGGGGTCAGGGCCAGCCCACCCATGAGGCAAGTTGAGACAACCGCCTCAGGTGGCAGGATCCACTGGGACAGCAGATCACAATCTTTCTTCCCTGTTGTTTTTGATGTAGATCTTCCCTTTCTCTCTGCTATAAAGCCTTAAATGGCACAGGACCGCAATATCTCAAGGACCGCCTCTTCCCATATGAACCTACCTGGACCCTGAGATCATCTTCTGAGGCCCTCCATTGTGTGCCTCCTCCTCAATAGATTAGGAGGGTGGCAACACAAGAATGGGTCTTGTGGCTCCCTGTCTATGGAATGCTCTCCCCAGGGAAGTTCACCTGGCACCTTGATTATACACCTTTAGGTGCCAGGCAAAAACTATGGGAGTGCAAATATCCAGAGTGTGGGGTCAGGTGGGATTACTATGAGGAATTATGAAATATGCATCAAGCCATTGTGTCCACAATGAATGCATTATGTTGAATGGGTTTGATACATTGGCAATAATTTCTGATCAAATCCCACAACCCTCTGCATCTCTGGCCATTTCCTCTACTGTCCATTTCTCTTTCTTGACAAGTCAAGTACGCAGCCCAGTTGTTGCCAGGCAGGCATCCTGGGCCATAAAGATAGTGGGCAAGTTTCTTTGATGTAGCTTTTCTGATATGTTAATCTTAGGGCCAGGAAACAGATCTCACATGAAGGTGATAATGATCACTGTCCTCCTGGCCATCCTTCTTATCATGTGTATTGATTGTTTACAACCTCCGGGGTTGCTGAATGCACTCCTTTGTAGTTTTCATTCATTTACCCAAAAATATGCACGCTTAACTAGTGTTTGTAGTTTAACATTGTCCTCATGTGGGGTTTGTTGAAATGCTCAGAAGAAATCTGATTGGTTCTTACGAACACTCTGTAAAAAGCTCTTTTGTGAATAAAACGACCTGGGCCAGGGGCTGGAGGCACGCAGAGATTATTATACGCACCCTTCCCAGAGTCTTGCTGGTTCAAGCCTCTGTGTGTATTCTTATTAATCAGAATTCAATCCTTCCTTTACTTTGTGAATGCCTCAAGAAAAACCCCTTCCAATCTACGCCCCATCCCAAGGGACAAGGGCAGGGCGAGCAGGGATTACCCACCTCCGTCATTGGTGTTGTGCAATGCCAGGTCCATAGGCAATAAAACCACCACCATGCGTGACTTTTTTGTATTGCAGGGGATTGACCTGGCTTGCGTGACGGAGACCTGGGTACTTTAAGGTGAAGTAGTCTCCCTACATGAGATAACATCCCCCGGTTTCTCTGTCCTTCATCAATCGCGGACTGCGGGTCAGGGGACGAGGAGTAGCGTTGTTAATCCGGGAGGATTGCTCTTTCAGAGCTCTGCCAGCACCGGCGATCTCCGGCATTGAATGTATTGGTCTTGTGTGGGGCACCAAGGAGAGCTTGGCTGTCTGGCCAAGTGTACCGACCACCCAGCGCACCGGCTGCCACCCTGTCAGACCTGCTGGAGGTGGCAGCAGGCTGGGCCTTGGAGTTCCCAAGCCTATTGGTTTTGGGAGACTTCAACATCCATGCCGATGCCACCCCCTCCTCACAGACTCTGGACCTAGTGACTTCCATGACAACACTAGGCTCTTCCAGTTTGTTTTGGGCCCCACTCATCAAGCAGGCCACACACTGGATTTGATCTTTGGTGCTGGCATAGATGTGATCATGCTCCCCCCTGTGGAACTGCCATGGTCTGATCACTATGCTCTGAAAGCCAAGATTGACTTCCCACTCCTCCCCTGCTCAAGTGGCGAGCCTATTTGGGCTTGCCCGTGAAGGCTGATGGATCCTGATAGATTCCGTCAGGCCTTGCGGGACCCTGCTCCTCCTGGCGACTCATTAGATGACTTGTCTAGGACTGGAATAACCGGCTCTTGGCAGCTATCAATGAGATCGTGCCTAAGCACCCTCTGCGACCCTGTCAAAACCGGGCCCCTTGGTTTACCGAGGAGCTCCAGAAAATGAAGCAGGATCTCAGATGGCTAGAGCGAGTATGGCAACGGACTCGTGACGGAGCTTTAAGAACATCTTATAGGACGCTTATGAAAGCCTATGAGATGGCTATGAAAGCTGCTAAGAAATCTTACTTTACAGCTTCCATTGCATCCGCTAGCTCTCGCTCGGCACAACTTTTTAGAATAATTAGGTCGATAACGTCCTTAGAAGGACAACCAAATATAAGCACAAATTTGACTCACAGCTGTGAGGCATTCATGAGCTTTTTTGCGGAAAGTCCTGTTGCTCCACTGTGACCTCCCTGCCAATTTAGATACAGTGACTGAACTGGAGGCCCCTCGACTGACTTCAGGTCCAGTGTTGGACCATTTTGATCAGATACTCCCTGCTGATGTGGACAGATTCCTCCAAGCTGGTAGGCCCACCACCTGCCTCCTCGATCTGTGCCCATCTTGGCTGATTAGGGGGTGCCCAGATGTCGTGCAGACCCCCCTGGTTGAAATTATCAATTTGTCCTTTGGCATGGGGATATTCCCAGGGGACATGAAGGAAGCAGTGGTGTGTCCGCTCTTAAAGAAAACTTCACTAGATCCTTTAGATGTATCCAATTACCGCCCAGTTTCAAATCTTCCAAATCTGGGTAAGGTAATTGAGAGAGCGGTTGCTGAACAGCTTGGTAGGTTTCTGGAGGAAACATTGGCTTTAGATTCATTTCAGCCCAGGGTCCGTCCTGGTTTCGGGACCAAGACGGCTCTAGTTGCCCTTACAGATGATCTCCGTAGACAACTGGATCGAGGCAGGCCAGGACTGCTGATTCTTTTAGATTTATCAGCAGCCTTTGACATGGTTGATCATGAGCTTCTGGACCACCGCCTCGCCGGCGTGGGGATACAGGCCATAGCCCGTAAATGGCTGTGCTCTTTTATCTCTGGTCGGGTACAGAGGGTGGCGCTAGGGAGGGATATGTCATCGCACCACTCCTTGGTGTGTGGATTGCTGCAGGGCGCAATCCTCTCCCCGATGCTTTTTAACATCTTCATGCGCCCCCTTGCCCAGATTATCCGGAGCTTTGGGCTGGGCTGTCACCAATATGCTGAGCTCTATCTGCTGATGGATGGCCACACCAACTCGACCTGGACACACTGACCAGATGCTTGAAAGCTGTGGCTGGATGGTTTTGTGGGAGCCGATTGAAACTAAATCCTTCGAAGACAGAGGTCCTCTGGCTGGGTCAAGATGGTATGGGGATGAGGGACCAACTCCCTTCTCTTGCAGGGGCCCAATTAGTGCCACTGCCTTCCGGTAAGAGTTTGGGTGTAATCCTTGACGTCTCCCTTTCCATAGAGGCTCAGGTTACAGCAACAGCCAAGGCGACATTTTTCCACCTTCGCCGCATCAAGCAGTTGGTCCCTTACCTTTCCCACCCTGACCTGGCCACAGTGATCCATGCGACGGTCACCTCCAGGCTTGACTACTGTAATTCGCTCTACACGGGGCTGCCCTTGAAGCTGTCCCAGAAACTCCAGCAGGTGCAGAATGCTGCAGTGAGGCTCCTCACGGGGTTTCTGCCATGGGAGCATATTCACCCAGTGCTTTTCCAGCTGCACTGGCTCCCGGTGGAGTACAGGGTCAGATTTAAGGGCTGGTTTTGACCTTTAAAGCCCTTTACAGCCTAGGACCCTTGTACCTACGGGACAACCTCACCCGGTATGCCCCACGGAGGACCTTAAGGTCCATAAATAGCAACACCCTAGAGGTCCTGGGCCCTAAGGAAGTTATATTAGCCTCAGGGCGCTGCAGGATCTGATTTCTTTCCGCAGGGCCTGTAAGACAGAGTTGTTCCGCCTGGCCTTTGACTTGGAATCAATTTGATTCCCTCCCCCTCTTTCTTTTTTCCTTTCTCCTCCTATGATGAGGCTGCATTTTAATGTTTTAATGTTATATTTTAAACTTGTTTTTTAAGTTGTATTTCGATCAACTTTTTATTATTGGTTGTTAGCCACCCTGAGCCCGTTCTTGGCTGGGGAGGGCGGGGTATAAATAACATTTATTTATTATTATTATTCCTTTTTAAACAGGTCTTTAGTTGACCCTTTAAAATGTGGCTTTTTGGGGAGGGGGTGTTACTGGATTGCACATTCAGGTGATGAACAAACCCTCCATCATGGGTAGGCAAACTAAGGCCCGGGGGCCGGATCTGGCCCAATCACCTTCTAAATCCAGACCGCAGATGGTCCGGGAATCAGCATGTTTTTACATGAGTAGAATGTGTCCTTTTATTTAAAATGCATCTCTGGATTATTTGTGGGGCATAAGAATTCGTTCATTCCCCCCCCCAAAAAAATATATATATATAGTCTGAGGGACAGTGGACCAGCCCCCTGCTGAAAAAGTTTGCTGACCCCTGCCAATGTTCCAGGGTGTAGCAAATATGATGCAGATCATTGGATTCCTCCCTGTAGCTGCCTTCAGTCTCAGCATTTGGCATTGACATTTTACTAAAGAGGACCATGAGCCAGACTTCCTCCACCAGGTGTCCTCCAGATGTTTTTGATTGCAATTCTCACCTGCCACTAGCCAGCATCAGCCGTGCGATGCTGGGGCAGATTGTAGAGATGGTCCACAACAGCTGGGGTGCAGAGGTAACTGAAACATCTTTAACTTCAAAAAGCGCCAGAATTGAGGTCATCCAGCCACCATAAATACCTTTAAAGAGAACAAACCAAAGAGAAAACTAGAGCCAGAACCTTCCAGAAAAATGCAGACCATCTCTATGACCATAGAACTCAGGGCTTCCCTTGTTGTGATGCCACTAGTAGCTTCTGAGTGTTAGGGATGTGATGCCCTGTGAGGTCAGTGTGACCCCGACGCTCAGCGGAGCCTCTCTCTCTTCTTTGCAGCTAATGCCGCTTTATATCCAGCCCATCAGAGTCTTGCCACGTCCTCCTCTCAAAGTCCCAAAGGCTATTGCTATGAGTGCTCCTCTCCGGTGCATCCACACCATCCACAGACTTCCTCCTCCCAAAGTCCCAAAGGCTATTGCTATGAGTGCTCCTCTCCAGTGCATCCACACCATCCACAGACCTCCTCAACAACTTCCTCTGACCCCAGTAACACAAGTCTTGCGGGTGGCACAGTGTACACAGTGGGAGTCCCCCCACTCTTGTGCTGGCCCAGCTCCATGTCCCCTGGGGTTGATTCAGTCGTCTTACCTCCAGGCCGCCCCAAAGTTGCCAGGACACAAACAGTAGACATCACCACTCTCCAGCCCAGCTCTGGGGGCTCCTATTCTCCAAATGCCAATCAAACAAGAGAAATTGAATCAACTTGGTCCTGGCCCAGCTCCATGTCCCCTGGGGATGATACAGTCTTCTTACCTCCAGGCCGCCCCAAAGTTGCCAGGACACAAACAGTAGACATCACCACTCTCCAGCCCAGCTCTGGGGGCTCCTATTCTCCAAATGCCAATCAAACAAGAGAAATTGAATCAACTTGGTCCTGGCCCAGCTCCATGTCCCCTGGGGATGATACAGTCTTCTTACCTCCAGGCCGCCCCAAAGTTGCCAGGACACAAACAGTAGACATCACCACTCTCCAGCCCAGCTCTGGGGGCTCCTATTCTCCAAATGCCAACCAAACAAGAGAACTTGAATCAACTTGGTCCTGGCCCAGCTCCATGTCCCCTGGGGATGATACAGTCTTCTTACCTCCAGGCCGCCCCAAAGTTGCCAGGACACAAACAGTAGACATCACCACTCTCCAGCCCAGCTCTGGGGGCTCCTATTCTCCAAATGCCAACCAAACAAGAGAACTTGAATCATATTGGTCCTTGCCCAGCTCCATGTCCCCTGGGGTTGATTTAGTCGTCTTACCTCCAGGCCGCCCCAAAGTTGCCAGGACACAAACAGTAGACATCACCACTCTCCAGCCCAGCTCTGGGGGCTCCTATTCTCCAAATGCCAACCAAACAAGAGAAATTGAATCATATTGGTCCTGGCCCAGCTCCATGTCCCCTGGAGATGATACAGTCTTTTTACCTCCAGGACGCCCCAAAGTTGCCAGGACACAAACAGTAGACATCACCACTCTCCAGCCCAGCTCTGGGGGCTCCTATTCTCCATATGCCAACCAAACAAGAGAACTTGAATCATATTGGTCCTTGCCCAGCTCCATGTCCCCTGGGGTTGATTTAGTCGTCTTACCTCCAGGCCGCCCCAAAGTTGCCAGGACACAAACAGTAGACATCACCACTCTCCAGCCCAGCTCTGGGGGCTCCTATTCTCCAAATGCCAACCAAACAAGAGAAATTGAATCATATTGGTCCTGGCCCAGCTCCATGTCCCCTGGAGATGATACAGTCTTTTTACCTCCAGGACGCCCCAAAGTTGCCAGGACACAAACAGTAGACATCACCACTCTCCAGCCCAGCTCTGGGGGCTCCTATTCTCCAAATGCCAACCAAACAAGAGAACTTGAATCAACTTGGTCCTGGCCCAGCTCCATGTCCCCTGGAGATGATACAGTCTTCTTACCTCCAGGCCGCCCCAAAGTTGCCAGGACACAAACAGTAGACATCACCACTCTCCAGCCCAGCTCTGGGGGCTCCTATTCTCCAAATGCCAACCAAACAAGAGAACTTGAATCAACTTGGTCCTGGCCCAGCTCCATGTCCCCTGGGGATGATACAGTCTTCTTACCTCCAGGCCGCCCCAAAGTTGCCAGGACACAAACAGTAGACATCACCACTCTCCAGCCCAGCTCTGGGGGCTCCTATTCTCCAAATGCCAATCAAACAAGAGAAATTGAATCATATTGGTCCTGGCCCAGCTCCATGTCCCCTGGAGATGATACAGTCTTTTTACCTCCAGGCCGCCCCAAAGTTGCCAGGACACAAACAGTAGACATCACCACTCTCCAGCCCAGCTCTGGGGGCTCCTATTCTCCATATGCCAACCAAACAAGAGAACTTGAATCAACTTGGTCCTGGCCCAGCTCCATGTCCCCTGGAGATGATACAGTCTTCTTACCTCCAGGCCGCCCCAAAGTTGCCAGGACACAAACAGTAGACATCACCACTCTCCAGCCCAGCTCTGGGGGCTCCTATTCTACGAATCCAAACCAAACAAGAGAAATTCAACCATATTGGCCCTGGCCCAGCTCCATGTCCCCTGGGGATTATTCAGTCGTCTTACCTCCAGGCCGCCCCAAAGTTGCCAGGACACAAACAGTAGACATCACCACTCTCCAGCCCAGCTCTGGGGTCTCCTTTTCTCCAAATGCCAACCAAACAAGAGAACTTGAATCAACTTGGTCCTGGCCCAGCTCCATGTCCCCTGGGGATGATACTGTCTTCTTACCTCCAGGCCGCCCCAGGGTTGCCAGGACACAAACAGTAGACATTACCACTCTCCAGCCCAGCCCTGGGGTCCCCAACTCTCAGAATACCACCCAGACTGCCTCTCTCAATGTTACCCGGGATGCTTCTCAAAATGCCTCTCCAAATGCCTCACAGAATGGTCCTGTCTCAGTGCTAAATCTCTCAGGCCCTCTAAACAGTGCTGATGTTGCTCAGCGCTGGTGGGAGTCTCGGCCTTTCACCCCTCCAAGTGCAGCACTCAATGCCTATGTATGCCAAGCATGGCCTGCCATAAGCATGCCAGCACTGCAGCAGGCATTGGCGCTGGGGCAAGCAATGCAGCAGGCACAAATCCTGACTCCAAGGAATGAGAAGCTATTGGGAGGGGTAAAGGAACTAAGGCACGCCCAAGCAATGACACAGCGACAGGCAATGGAGCGGGAGCAGATGCAGCCTAGGGAGTGGGCGCAGGCACCTGTAGTGACCCAGGCACCAAGACTGACACAGCAGCAGGCATTCGAGAGAGCACAGGCACAGCAATGGGTGAAGACCTGGGCAGAGATGGAGCAAACAGCACGACGACAGGAAATGGAGCGGGCACACTGGGCCCAGGCCCAGGCCCAGGCCCGGGCCCAGGCCCAGGTAATGACCCAAGCACAAGCCCAGGCACTTGCACAGCCTATAATCCTGAGAAGCCCTGCCCCTTTCATACTGCAATCCCCACTTGTTGGTAGGGAAGCCATGCCACCCCCTTTCCAACTACCCTCTCCCGAAGCCATGCCACCAACCCACCTTCCTGCTAATCCACTCCAAGCCCCACAGAAATATCCCGATGTGAAGCCAAAGGAGCGCAGAGCCTCCACTAAGCAAGAGACTGACATGAAGACCAGCAGCGATGCCAAAGGAAAAGGTGAGAGGGACCAGAACGGAGCTGGGGCAGGCAGGCAGGCAGGGTGGAGTGGAGCAGAGCTATGTGGTGGGGGTACAATTCACAAGGAACTGCCACTAGCCCTAGAGCCAGCAACAAGCAGCAGCATGGGCAGCCCAGGCCAGCACCACGAGTGCTGCTATTTGCAACCCCAAAGAGCTTATGAGGACAGTGCCTTGCCCTGGAGGAGATCCAGAAGCCCAAGGGAGAGGGGGAAATCCTCTGTGGTCAGAGGCAAGCCATGATCTGCCCCTAGATGGCTGAGGGATGCCCAGGAAAGTCTGGTGTAAGCTGGCTATATGTGGGCACTAGTCAGGGCCCATTTGCCAGAAGCTGAAGTTATCATGGGATCGTGGGATCATGAATAAATCACAGCGGGCAACTGAAGGTCAACATCAGCAACTCTTTTTCTGTGAGATTTTTATTAAAGTTTTTCATAATAAAATAAAATAGTGTCTACAAAAAATACAAATAGAGTCCTCTCCTAAAAGTAATTCTTAGCCCTTACCACACACAGAGGATAGTAGCTCCTCCCAGCTCTCACTTCCCACTCTGGGAGACCAACAGTTCCCTGTTTCTCACCCAAGGCCCTCCATCAACCATCTACCACTCCCATTCATATACAATCTCTGGACCTTAATAAAGGCCCCAGACATAGGACTCCAAGGAAAAAACAAAAAGAAGAAAAACAAAAAAGAGAGACAAAAAAGAAAGGAAGGAAGGAACAATAAGAGAGAAAAGAGAGAGATAAAAAAAAGACAAAAGAAAAATAAACGCTAGAGAAAGATACAAACAAAAAATCCCTTCTGATTTTCCATCTGCCGGTAACATAAAAAAAGGAAAAGGGATTACCATACTTTACCGTGTACAACACGCCCCCATGTATAAGACATCCCCTATTTTGGAGAAATCAAAATTAAGAAAATTGGAGGGGGGGAGAGATTGTTGAGCTTTTTGGGGAAGGATTGCCCACAGTTGTTGAGCTTTATTCGGGGGGTGGTCCACAGTTGTTGTGCATGCATCGCAAAAGTCACCTATCCTCTGTCCCATCGCCAACAAAAGCAGCAAACAGGCTGCCCAATTGCCGCATCAACAGCCAATCAACACCAGCCCTTGCCGCAGCCACCAATAACAATCTCCGACTCACAGCAGCAACCAATCCCATGTCCCCACAATGCACTACCCATATATAAGACAACCCCCAATTTTAACATGATTTTTGAATAAAAAAACAGTCTTATACACGGAAAAGTATGGTATTTAAGACATTTAGCCCATGCTAAAATCCATCTTCTGCACTTTCTGTTAAGCAATATTTCTTTTAAGTTAAGGTGTCTCAGAATAATTCATTTTGTTTTCCCACTAAAAGTCCAAGAGGAGTTCCCTAATTGTTATTATTGGCTAATGTCAACTATATTTTTTCTTTTCTATTAACTTTACTTCCATTAATTTCCACCACAGTTACTCCATATTGAGTGACAGCAAATTCTTCTTTCTATCCATGTCCATTTTAAAATCTCTCCATTGTTATCACATATTGGAATAATATTCCTTTTTCTTCTTATTATATATCCTTTAGTTCATGTCCATTTCCATATGCTCAAATTCCACTTCCTGTTGCATTTCCATTTCCTGTTGTATTTACAGTGCTATCCTGATCTCCTCTCCTCTAGAAACTTCCATTTTCATTTTTCCCAGTCTTTTCCCAGAGAGAATACCATAAATTTGGCAGCATCATTCTCTGAATTTGCTCCAAATCATATACAAAATACTTTCTCTCTGCTAGAACTGAAGAATGGCCAGGACTGAAGTTTTCCCTAAAGCTTTCCCTACCTCAACTCCATCAATGCCAAATCCAGGTAATTCCCCATTTGTGATTGTATCTCCTCCTCCTCCAAATCCTTGTATGGAATGCATTTCATTTCAGCATCTGCTTTCTTCATCCAGTCCTGCCAGCTTTTCATTGATTTGGTCTGAAGCTTCTAGGTATTCTTCATTTCCATTTTCCATTTCAGATCTCTTTGACTCATTTTCTCTCCACCTTTCTTTTCCACTGATTGATTCCAATCATTTTTAATTGTTCAGCCATCAACTGCTGAACAATGCCAACAGTCACTGGGAGATCTAAAGGTACCTTTGCCATACTGGATGCTTTTGATGATTTGAATATTATTAGCAACTCTATGTTAATATTTCCACCTTAAAACCACAGCCACAACGAATCTTATAGGAAATTCTTTTCCACAACTGGAAATGGCCGCTTTACTTTCAGCAGCAAGAAACAGAAAAAGGGTTATATTTTTCACACAAGGGTTTCCCTTGTCTGTTTAATCTTTACTGTCAACCATAAATCAGGCTTTTAGCTTTGCCTTGAGACACTTTAATGACCAGTTTTCCTTTCTGTTCTTCATAACAACAGAAAGAGGTACTTAAAATTTTTCAGATTGTAAATTTTCACCAGCAGCATAGAGGGATCTCTCCAAGTTAGTTTTCCTTGTCCCAGAAGTGTTTAAGAAAGAGAGTGTGCTGGTCTTTCTACCTATAAAACATGCTTAAGTGACATTTGGGCACAATGTTCACTCCTCACCTTGCCAGCTCATTGTAACTCCCGTCCAAGCCGCCAGGCACAGACAGCATAAAATGACCTCAGCAAAGCATTTCAGGTCTCCCAGATCACCCTTATTCTCCTGAGTGATTATTGTATTGGCCCGAATATAAGCCGCACCCGCAAATACATTCAATGGCTACAATTCCGCAGGCACTCACATCCAAAAATGGAAAATGTATAAGAAAATCCTACGGGTACTAGAGATTACCCGTAAACTTGCAAATCGGCAATAAAACATTTCTTTGTTCCGTTTTACTATGTGTCTGTTTCAGCAGCAAGATCATAAAAGCCTATTTTTGTAAGGTCATGTATTTAAGCTGCACTTTTTCACGGTCGGAATTTGTGGGGAAAGTGTGGCTTATTTTTGGGCCAATACGGTAATAGTCAGTCTGACTACTATCAATCACCACATAATTATCTTCTGTCAGCAGAGAGCTAACAGAGAGGCAGCCAAACTGCCATTCCTCTCCCCGGAAGTTATCAGCAGCTGGCCAGTCTTCAAATAATGGCCTGGCCACAGACAGGCTTATACAGACCTATAAGTGCCTAGTAGCAACTGTAAATATTGCACCCTGTGCCTGAAAGCTGCCTTAATGCATCTTCCTTTACCACAAAATGTGTGCCACTGGGGGCCAGCTGACACAGCAGGAGAAACACACTTACTTTTTTTAAAAAAATGCTTCAATTAGCCAGTTTTAGTTTGAAGAAGGAACCACCCATGCAACTCCAATCCAGAATGGACTCACACCGTGGTTGCCTGATTTCTTCCCCTCTCCTGTGTCCTGTTAGCTCCCAAAGGTGCTGGTGGCTGCAGACAGCCCCATGATCCAGCCTAAAATGAACAGCTGTCCTTCTGAGCACCGTTAGCTTACAGACCTCTTTTCTCTCTCGCCTTTTGTATCGAATGCGCTGCACTTGGGCAAAAATATAATAATAGCAGAATGATAAAAGCTGCTCACCTTTGTATTTTATTTATTTATTTAGAAGGATGCATACAATTCTAAGCATAGTGCAGGACAAGGCCCTTAACTTATATTCACAGGAGGGGTGCTGGTGCAGAGTTTACAAAGAGACAAGACAGGCTGGCTTTAGTACATGGAGCAGTGCAAACAGGGGGGAAGGGGGGGACTCCACTCTGGTCAACAAAATGTGGCCTGGGCTGCTAGCTGTGAGGCAATAGGCTGGCAGGGGAGGATGAACAGCTTGACCAAGGGGAGTGGGCACTTTGTGGATGGTGGAGGGCCAGGGAGACCCTCCTCTCTGACAGGAAATGTCTTTGCAGAAACCAGCAAGCAAGAGCGCATCGTGGGCGAAATTGCATTCCAACTGGACCGCAGGATTCTCTCCAGCATCTTTCCTGACCGTGCGCGCCTCTACGGTTTCACCGTCCGCAACATCCCTGAGAAAGTTGCACAGGTGAGGGGAAACTCCACTTACTGCCTCTGGCCCTAGCCCTGGCATGGCAGCTGAGAGAGAGAGAGAGAGAGAGAGCGTGCAAGTAGAGCCTTTCCACATGAATTTGTGGAACCCAAACTGGGGGTTTCCCCCAAGGAACCGTCAAAAGGGACCAGTCATTTCAGGCCAACTAGGAATGGATGCCAGTGGGTCAGTTCAAGCATACAGTGGTACCTTGGTTCCCAAACTTAATCCGTTCCAGAAGTCTGTTCCAAAACCAAAGCGTTCTAAAACCAAGGTGTGCTTTCCCATAGAAAGTAATGCAAAATGGATTAATCCATTCCAGACTTTTAAAAACAAGCCCTAAAACAGCAATTTAACATGAATTTTACTATCTAGTGAAACTATTGATTCATAAAATGAAGCAATAATCAATGTACTGTACTATAAAATAAATAAGACAGTATTGTAGATGATAAAAATAAAAATTGCTTTTTTTTCTTACGTGTACTAATGATAGTCAATATTTGGATGGGAGGCTTTTATCCATTTCTGCAGTCACACAACCAATCAATCAGTAGCTGAACTCGGTTCCACACAGTCACAAAAACGAAGTCAAAAACCACAGTCACAAGGCAGTCCCATAAAATGAAGAACAAGTCACAGTCAAAAAATGAAAAAGCCACACAAACAAAAACACAAAAAACAGCAAAAACAAAAGCTCCAAATATCACCTCTGTGTTGTGTGGGAGCTCAAGACTCAACACAAAGCCTCTGATTAGCAGCGGGGGACTCAATTTACAAACGGAACACACTCAACAGGAAGTGGAACATGTTTCGCTTCCAAGGCAAAGTTCACAAACCGGAACACCTACTTCCAGGTTTGCAGCGTTCTATTTCCAAGTTGTTCATAAACTAAGCTTGTCCCACATAGAGATTTCTCAGGAGACAGATGAGGTGATCAGGCACTCCCATTTCTTTAAGAACTTGCCATAGTTTGCTGTGGTCGGCACAGTCAAAGGCTTTTGCATAGTCACTGAAGCAGAAGTAGATGTCTTTCTGGAACTCTCTAGTTTTCTCCATAATCCAGCACATGTTTGCAATTTGGTCTCTGATTCCTCTGCCCTTCTAAATCCAGCTTGCACTGCTTAAGTCTGCCTTGTAGAATTTTAAGCATAACCTTGCTAGCGTGTGAAATGAGTGCAATTGTTGGAGCATTCTTTGGCACTGCCCTTCTTTGGGATTGCGATGTAGACTGATCTTCTCCAATCCTCTGGACACTGCTGAGTTTTCCAAACTTGCTGGCATATTGAGTGTAGCACCTTGACAGCATCATCTTTTAAAATTTTAAATAGTTCAGCTGGAATACCATCGCTTCCACTGGCCTTGTTATTAGTAGTGCTTTCTAAGGCCCATTTGACTTCACTCTCCAGCCTGTCTGGCTCAAGGTCAGCAACCACACTACCTGGGGTGTACGAGACATCCATATTTTTCTGGTATCATTTCTCTGTGTATTCTTGCCACATCTTCTGCTTCTGTTACATCCTTACTACTTTTGTCCTTTATTATGGTAATCTTTGCATGCAATGTTCCTTTCATATCTCCAATTTTCTTGAACAGATCTCTGGTTTTCCCATTCTGTTGTTTTCCTCTATTTCTTTGCATTGCTCGTCGAATAAGGCCCTCTTGTCTCTCCTTGCTATTTTTTGGAAATCTGCATTCAATTTCCTGTATCTTTCACTATCTCCCTCGCATTTTGCTTGCCTTCTCTCCCCCGCTATTTGTAAGGCCTCATTGGACAGCCACTTGGCTTTCTTGCATTTCCTTTTCATTGGGATGGTTTTCGTTGCTGCCTCCTGTATAATGTTGCAAGCCTCCATCCATAGTTCTTCAGGCACTCTGTCCAGCAAATCTAAATCCTTAAACCTGTTCCTCACTTCCACTGTGTATTCATAAGGGATTTGATTTAGATTGTATCTTACTGGCCCAGTGGTTTTTCCTATTTTCTTCAGTTTAAGCTTGAATTTTGCTATAAGAAGCTGATGATCTGAGCCACAGTCAGCTCCGGTTCTTGTTTCTGCTGACTGTATAGAGCTTCTCCATCTTTGGCTGCAGAGAATATAATCAATCTGATGTCGATGCTGCCCATCTGGTGATGTCCATGTGTAGAATCGTCTCTTGTGTTGTTGGAAAAGAGTGTTTGTGATGACCAGCTTGTTCTCTTGGCAGAACTCTATTAGCCTTTGCCCTGCTTCATTTTGAACTCCCAAGGCCAAACTTGCCAGTTGTTCCTTTCATCTCTTGACTCCCTACTTTAGCATTCCAATCCCCTGTAATGAGAAGAACATCCTTCTTTGGTGTCATTTCTATAAGGTGTTGTAAGTCTTCATAGAATTGGTCAATTTCAGTTTCTTCGGCACCGGTAGTTTGTGCATAAACTTGGATTACTGTGATGTTTTTGTCCAAAACTCCATGGACAAAAACAACAGGCATATAAAAGTTTAAAAAAATAAAGTGTTAAAGTCATGTGGAGTTTGGTTCCAAGTCTGCAATGTTGATTCCTTCCTTCCTTTGGCAATCACTCGTAGCTGAGTAAGATTGTCTTCCATAAACATGGTTTTAACAATGAGTCCGTAAGTGACTGGAGGCCAATTCCGGAGCCACACGTCCTTCCACAGTTGCGTAGCTGGGGAGGTAGCTGCCCCCCATCAATAAAAATCAATACACACCTGAGGTTCTGCTTCCCCCAAAGCCCTACAAAAATCTTGGTTATGCCCATGCCCTCTATATATCAGGGGTGGGGTGGGTGGCTTGGATCCTTTCCACTTTCTTCCCCCCTTCACTGCCCAGCTTTTTCTCCATTGCCTCCAGGTCCACATTACTTATCCCTCCCTTCCCACTAAAATGTTAACCCAAGGCTTGGTTCTTTAAGATCCTTTGGGCTGCAGCCGCCTTGTCTTCCCTGCTCTTGCCTCTCACCATGGATCCTAAATCCTGACTTTTCTTGCTTCTTGCTCTGACCACGTCCTCCCCACTTACCTCTCTGGCTTCCTTTTCTGTTTCCCCATAAGTTTCAACTTCTTTCCTTCCAAACCTCCTGACAGTCAAGCCTCTTGGCAGCTCCATCCTCTTTACCTTCTCCAGCTTCTCTGTCAGTAGGACTCCAGCCTGCTTGTCATTAAATATGCCTCCTGCTTCTCAAATGCAAATGTTCTCTCTTCCTCTGGGCTTCTGATCTTTCTTATTCTAAAAGGCATCTACCCTGCTTCTTGCCTGCTATTTCCCCCCTCAGATGAGAAAGAGCCACTTTGGGAGGGCCATGGCTGGCCACGCAACCCCACCCGTGGCAGCGTATCCAGGCAAGGCTTGCAAAGACCCTGTTCCTTTTGGCCTGACACCCTGCAGAGCCTCTGCAGGCCACAGGGAGCAAGAGGGACCCACGACACAGCTTGGCATAAAGCAGTTTCCTGTGTGCTATTAACATTTTCATTTATTAAGCCCTTCATATATAGTGGTACCTTGGTTCTCAAACTTATTCTGTTCCAGAAATCCGTTCCAAAACCAAGACATTCCGAAGCCAAGGAGCACTTTCCCATGGAAAGTAATGCAAAATGGATTAATCCGTTCCAGACTTTTAAAAACAATCCCTAAAACAGCAATTTAACATGAATTTTACTATCTAATGAGACCACTGAGCCATAAAATGAAAGCAATAAACAATGTGCTGCAGTCACAAAATCAATCACTCAATCAATCAATCAATCAATCAGTAGCTGAACTGGCTTCCACACAGTCACAAAAACATAACAAAAAGAGCCACAAAAACAAAAATACAAAATAAATAGCAAAACCAGACAGACCTCAGGGTAACACTCAAAACGGAAGTGTGGCACTTAAATCGTCAGCGTAACACTCAAATCGTCAGCATAATACTCAAAAGGGAAGTGTGGCACTCAAATTGCAAGCATAACATTCAAAATGGAGCATATTCAGCTTCCAAAAATAGTTCGCAAACCAGAACACTTACTTCTGGGTTTGCAGTGTTTGGGTTCCAAATTGAGCACCAAGGCATTTGAGAACCAAGGTACCAATAGTCTCTAAGCAGTTTACAAAGATGCAACACAAAATAAAAATCAGCTATGATAAAATCAAACTATAGTTAAAATGCCTGCTGAAATAACAAAGCCTTTTGTAGGCACTGGAAGTTCAGTGGGGAAAGGCTCGTCTGACCTCAGCTGTAATGGAGTGCCAAAAACTTCTCCTCCCCCTCTGACCCTTGGCATTAACTAATGGTGAGCCAGCAAGCAACGCCTTGCTATTATCCTGGGATAACTGGCCAGTGTATTGTACATGCCAAGTCCTATTTCAGAAGGAAATCATAGTTGCAAAAAGCCTATTGTGGATTTAGCAGCTAGCCGTTTTAACACATAAAAAGTATATTTAAAATTTTGTATAGAATATAATGGCTGGCGTTTGAGGGGTTGTAGCCAACTACATTTTACTCAAAACAGACTAATTAATCTGTTAGTTATGTCCATTAATTTCAGTGGGCTTACTCTGTGTAGGACAAACATGGGCGACACCCTGAGACTATTAGTAGCCCAGCACTGCATGGGAAGAGGTCCCACAAAGGAGCCTCTGGCATTTCCAGTCAAACAATCTCAGGCAGCAGCTGACGGTGGGTGGGTGGGGCTTAGAGAGCCACTACCAGTCAGAGTAGACAGCATCAGGGCTGGACAGACCCAAAGGGTCTGCGTCAGGCCAAAGTAGTTTCTTCTGGACTTCATATGGTATCAAGGGGTTTCTGCGGCTTCTGTCCGTTGGGATGGGTTTCTATTACTTTCACTGGGGGCACAAATAATTATCTATACAGTGGTACCTCTGGTTAATTACTTAATTCATTCCGGAGGTTTGTTCTTAACCTGAAACTGTTCTTAACCTGATGTACCACTTTAGCTAATGGGGCCTCCTGCTGCTGCCACCGCACGATTTCTGTTCTCATCCTGGGGCAAAGTTCTACTTCCGGGTTAGCGGAGTCTGTAACCCAAAGTGTTTGCAACCTGAGGTACCACTGTATCACCATCAATAGTATTTACATTCTCAGTTACTTTATATAAAAAAGAAAAAAGTCTCAAACAACTTGAAAAGTGAACACAATGTGCCTTAATGCTGCTCTTCTCTCTCTCTGTTCCTCTCTCTCCGCAGAGTGGAGCTGACCCCTTCCTGCAGCTGACAACAGAGCAGGCTTCAACCATCATGGAGCGCTACAATAACATCATGGACCGCCTGAAGCAGCTGGGCTATGACCCAAGCGTCCACCCTACCCTGACGGAGCACATTGTCAACACTTTTGGCATCCTCCGGGATCGGCCAGACATGACAGGCGCAGAGGCAGCCGCCTACAATGACATAAAGTATCTGCAGGAGGTGGTCAAGAATGCCACCCCTCCAGACATGTTCAACAACTGCATGCTGCTCCTCAACTGCCTCCATCAACTGTCTCAGGATGACGGGAAGCCCTTGTTCATATGGTGAACCTCCCACTCCCCCCACAGTGCGCACTGTATCACTGCAAACACAATAAACCATCTGAAAATGTCTAGTGAGTCTTCTTGTGTAACCCGCAGACAATTTGTGCCACCTTGTCCAGTTTCATGATTTGGGAGAGGTCCAGTCTGGTGTCCGGCCCCCTCTTGGCCCTCAGCTGGCCTTCTTCAGAACTGCATTAATTGCCAGCAAGCCAGAACATAAAGAGCAAGGGGTGGTCATGATTAGAAATATACTGAAATTCAATGTTACAGGAGGATATTCAAAGGGTAAAAGGTTGGCATGAAGGCAGGGTTTACTTTATGGGAAATGGTCTGCTTGAGTGATGATGGATCTGGTAAGCCATGATTGTTTCATAAGCAATAACTATTTCCATAAGCCATAATTACGACAAGACTTGCTACTGAAAAATAATCAATGTTAAGATGCTCTGTAGTGATGTATTAACTCCATTCTGTTCTCTGTATTCTGATACTGGTATTAATAGCTGGTTAGTAAAAAAAATAACTTTTCATCAAACTGGTCTTAGAAATGCTGGTGTTAAATAAGTAATTTCTCTGTGCCTTCTGCTTCAACATTTGTCTGAAGGTGGCAGCTGGGCTTGGAAACTAAATGCCAAAAAGCAAAACAAAGTCTATTGCGATTTCAAAGGACAGGAGTGTAAATCGGTGAATTCTCAGGCAGGGCTTCACCTGTCAAAGGAGGCGACTTCTTTGCCAAACCTGCCCTCCACCAAAGTGCAGCAGCAGCAGCAGCACCTTCTCCTCCCTGGCTATTCTCTCTCTTCCTGTTGATCTCTGGCGAGTGCTTTTGGCAAATCTTCTCACTGCACAAAGTGTGTTGTTTTTAATCTCCTCCAAGGTTAGGCCAGGAGGGTGCCGTGGCTCACACCGGCCACCACAGCAGCAAAAGGAGCCTCTCGGTGCTATGTTCATTTCTGAATTTTCTGATTGTTTGCGAAAAGGTGGGGGGGAGATAGTCTTTCACTCAGACACTGACATCTCTAGTGGTCGAAGTGTCCTGTCAGAGGCCTGTAGGCAGCAACAGAGTGCTGAGCTCCTAAGACCTTGGTTGCTGCACCAGGGGCAAAGAGCCCCAGTAAGAGCCTCCCCATTTACATGCTTTCTCCCGGCACCATTTTCCCAATTGAAGAGCATTCAGTCTGCAGGTGGAGCCCCTCAGCAAAGAAAAGCCTGGCTGCTAGTTCAAGGATATAGCAACAAGCTAAGCAATAAAGTTACACCAGACTGCATTAAAATAGTCGTGTTTCTTTTGGCCTCTTGATACTTTGTTTTTGTGTCAGCTTCTCCAATAATGCTGTTTGCCAAATTGCATTGTATCATTGGTCCATAATCAATAATTGTAATGATTTCCATGTCCAGGCAAGTTGTTTTTGCAGCAGTTAATGGAAGTGTTATGAGTTCTTTGTTTCTAATTCGCAACATATCATGACTGTACAAGTTAAGTATAGGCAGTCCTGGGGTCCTGTCTGTCTTGTAATTAAATATATTTCTGTAAATACATTTTCCCATAACATTTCTATTTTTGGACACTCCTACCACAAGTGCTAATATGCCGCTATAGCAGGACATCCTCTCCAACACATGGGAAAACTGTTCGGTTTTATATAGGCTAGGAGTTGGTCCAGTCTGTTCCATGTCTTTTCTTCAGTATTTAAGTCTCAATTCAGTTCCCGCCACCTTCTCAAAATTTTGCTGAGGAAAAAATTGAACCTCGATTATAGATTTATACAAAGATATTAATCCTTTTGTTATTATATTATATTTTACTCCACTATAATTTTTGCATGCTATTGTCTCATGACTTGACAACCATATGTCAGGAGTGCTCTGATGGTGTTTCCTGCTTGGCAGGGGGTTGGACTCGATGGCCCTTGTGGTCTCTTCCAACTCTATGATTCTATGATTCTATGACTTTGTTTTTAAACTGGGAATTTGTTAAAAATTGGTAGTCTAAAAATCGTGATATTTGAACATTTGCCTGTGCAATTTGCATCACAGTAATGGTAAGCAGTCATCTATCTTTGTAAAAATATTTCAAATATTACAATTGCTTTTCTTTCAACACCTCTATATTATAGGGTCTATATTTATTTTTGAAAACTGGGTAGAAGTGTAATGGAATAATGGGTGAGAAGCCTGCAACCAGGACTTTGCCCATTTTGTCCAAATCTTGAAAGTTGTAAGTGTGAATGGATTTGTAAGCCAGGTTAAGGTATTACTTTCATAAAGACACCATCTATTTCCAAGTTCTCTAATGTACTCTACTGAGCTCCTTTACTGCCAGACAGGTCTATCATGTTGATGAGTGGATGTGTGTAGTAATCTTTATAAGGGCATCTTGGGAAATGGCTGAAGGGAGAAGGAGCAGCCTGTATGAGCCAAAGGGGATGGTCTTGTGATAGAAACAGCGTGTGGGATAAAGTAGTGTGAGGTAGCCTCAGAACACCAAACTTGAAATTGTTATTGCCTTGCCAGGCAAATTGTCTAAACTGGATTATGAGATGGTGACCCTGATACCAAGTCAAGATCAGGGAAAACCCCAGGTACTGCCAAATGAATGTACAGAGATTTTTCCACCTAAAGAGCAGTCTAAGTATTGTGAAAACGGTTTTTCAAGTAAGGGATGGCTTGTTGAGAATTTGGGATAAGGATATCAGTAGGATTTGCCTACCCATATCCAGCTTTCAGAAAGATTACTGATCCTGGAGTGCTTGAAGCATGCCCTCCTTGTTTCAACACATGAATCTTCTTTCCTTCTTTCTTGGAGAGGAGCCTGGGCTTCTTTCTCTGTGGGTGGGGCTTTCCCCTCCTCCAAGAACGGTTCCTTCTTTGGGACAGAGCCCACATGGGTGCCTCCAGCACCAGGCCATGGCCACCGTCAAAGATGTGCTGGGAGTGGGAGGGAAGAAGAGCTGGGCAACTTCTGAGGGATCTTGGTGTGTCTCTGCAGCCAAATCAACCAACATCTCTCTCTCTCTCTCTCTCTCTCTCTCTCTCTCTCCCCTCCCCCCCTTTCTGCACAGATGGTGGCACAAGCTCCCTCTACCTCCAGGGTGGTGCAGCTGGGCAGCCCAACCTGCCTCGGCAACGTGGATTCTGCTTTCAGTGCCCCTTTCCTTGGCACCCCCACAAGCCCCAGCTGGCCCTGCCAGCCCTGCCCACCCCTTCCTCCAGCCTCGCTCCCCTAGCTACTCAGAGTGCAACTTCCCAGGCAAACTTTGGCCTTGGCAACCAGAGCCGGTCTTTGCCCCCACCCTCTCCCATCATCATCGTGCCCTACTACAGCCCGCCCCCTGGCCACAGCGTCACCAGTGATGCCTCCTCCTCCACCGTCACCTCTGCAGCTTCCAACAAGTCCTTCTATGCACTCAATGCCACTGATGACACCTCCTCCGCTGCTTCCTACCAGGCACCAGGCTACCGAAGCCTGCCCTTGCCCCCCGGCCCTGCCCCCTTCCACCAACCCAACTACAGCCTGCCCCTTGGTCACAAGATCCCTTATGGGCCCCTCCCATCTTCCCCCACTATCACCTCTGGTGCCTTCTATGACTCCATCCAGGGAGAGCCACTGAGTTTCGGTTCTGGCCAACAGAGCGCGCCTCCATCTCCCATCTTCTATGCGGTCAATGCCAATGACACCTCCTCCTTCCCCGCTGCTTCCTACCAGGCACCGGGCTACCAGAGCCTGCCCGTGCCCCTGCCCTCCACGCCCAGCCCCTTCCACCAGTCCAACTACAGCCTGCCCATCAGCAACAAGCTTGGCTACGAACCCCTCCCTTCCTCTCCTCCTCCCTACCAGTCCATCCAGGGCGAGCCACTGAGCATTGGTTCTGCCTACCAGAGCCAGCCCCCATCCCCCATCTACTATGCAGTCAATGTCACTGATGATGCTTCCTACCAGTCTGCTGGGCGCCGGGCGCCAGGCCACCAGAGCCTACCCCTGCCCCCTGCCCCCTTCCACCAGCCCAACTACAGTTTGCCCCTCAGCAACAGGCCCATCTATGAACCGCTCCCCATCGCTCCCACCACTTCCTACCAGTCTGGCCAGGGTTACTCACCGGGCTCTGCTGATGGCCAGTTCTGGTGGGATTCGTACGCACCACTCCATGATGAGTCAACTATGGGCAGCATCTTGTCCAGACGAGAACTCTTCACAAACTCCCAGCGAACCCCACTCAGTGCAGGAACCTACTTTGACCAGAACATAGACGACTCTGCTTTCCACCGGCCTGTCAGGCCCAGGCCTCCCCCCCTCCAAATGCCCCCCCAAGAAGTGTCCCCCCTCCTTGTGTACCCACCTCCCATGATAAATCCTGATGCATCTCCCATACCTTACCCAAACTTTAACCCTAGAAGGGAGGGTACCAACTTCTATTATCCCTCCCCTCTCCGCATGCTAATGTTCTTCCCAGACCTGTATCGAAAGCTGTATGAGATTCCGCCCCCAGACATGGACCAAAGCCAACTCCATGATGAGTCAACTATGGGCAGCAACGTATCCAGACGAGAACTCTTCACAAACTCCCAGCAAAGCCCACTCAGTGAAGCCTACTTTGTCCAGAACATAGACGAGACTGCTTTCCATCGGCCTGTCAGGCCCAGGCCTCCCCCCCTCCAAATGCCCCCCCAAGAAGTGTCCCCCCTCCTTGTGTACCCACCTCCCATGATAAATCCCGATGCATCTCCCATACCTTACCCAACCTTTAACGCTAGAAGGGAGGGTACCAACTTCTATTATCCCTCCCCTCTCCGCATGCTAATGTTCTTCCCAGACCTGTATCGAAAGCTGTATGAGGTTCCGGCCGCAGACATGGACCAAAGCCAACTCACTGACCAGGCCCAAAGCCATGATGAGCCACCTATGGGCAGCACCTCGTTCAGACAACAACTCTTCACAAACTCCCCGCAAACCCCACTCGTTCCAGGAACCTTCTTTCACCAGTTCATAGACGACTCTGTTTTCCTTCGGCCTGGCAGGTCTCCCCCCCCGCAACAAATGTCCCCCCTCTTTGTGTACCAACCTGGCATGATAAATCCCAATGCATCTCCCTTGCCTTACCCATCCTTTGACCCTAGAAGCGAGGGTACCAACTTCTATTATCCCTCCCCTTTCCACATGCTAATGTTCTTCCCAGACCTGTATCGAAGGCTGTATGAGATTCCGCCCCCAGACATGGACCAAAGCCAACTCACTGACCAGAACCAAAGCCAAGCAGCCTCTTCTCAAAGCCCAGCAGTAGCATCTCAGGCCTTCAACCAGAGCCAGCCAATGGTCGTGAGGCCAAAGGAGCGCCGAGGCACCGACAGGCAAGCCACCTCCCTGAGCAGCACCAAGTCAAGCAGAGGTGGGTGAGTGTGTATATGTGTTTCTGTTGTGTAAGGAATGTGTGATGTTTCTGGGCCCTGACTGGGCATGGTGAGCTGATCTTCTCACAGATGGTCACTTTCCATTGATATAGCTCTACCGCAGACAGACACTATCAAGCCCAAAGAGCTGAACAGTTACAGCGCAACCGAACTCAGGCAGAGTTGGGGCATTTCCTACCATAGCTGTCAGGCATGGGGGAATCTCTCCTCACCTAGTAGCATCAAAGAGCAAGGAAGAAACAAAGAAGTTCATATTTATGGTTTTATTTAGTCATCGTGGTACAAGGCAAAGAATCCAGTCCTTAACTCCACAGTAACGTTGCTCGCTCTGAGCTCCTCCTCTTCTTTCCCCAGCAACAGCCCTTGGCTCTATGAGGGGCCTCAGGAGTCAAATGTAGCCGAGCCCTTTGCTCTTGAACTCTAAATGAGCAACAGGTACATGGGGATGGTGGCTCTTCTATGCTTTCCAAGGACATTTCTGCTGTCAGCACTACCCCTCCTTCTCCTAATGCCTCATAACTAAGCTGCTCTGAGTTCTGCTGTAATTCAATCGTGTCTCCCTCTTCTCTTGAAATTAGTAGAGAAGGGGGGATTATCACCACCATTCCTCCTCCAAGGGAAGCAGAGAAGGAAGGGGTGATCTCCAGCCCTCCTCTTCAGTCGAGTCCCAGACATCACCCCTTCTACAGAGCCCTCCTCCTCCTCCTTCCCTCCACCCCTTCGGTTTTGGTCTGCTGGGGTGACTTCTATAAAACTCCTTTTGCAAGTCCAGGGCATGAACATATTCTGCACATTCCCATTATCTTTCTTCTGGCCCATACCCGCTCCACACAATCAAGTATTGCAACCTCTTCCTTCTCATTTGCGAGTCTAGAATTTGTTCTACTTCAAACTTTTCCTCTCCTTCTACCAGGACTGGAGGTGGAGGTGTTTGTCTAGGTGCTTAGTAAGGGTGTGCAGGCACCACTGGCAACGACCAGGATCTATGGAATACAGGGTAGATCTTCATTGATACCAGCAACCTGAGCCTGAAAGTCGCAGGATTGATCTATTCTGTCACTTCAAATGGCCCCCCTCTTTGGCGGTCCAGTTTTCTATATCTATCTTTCTGAAGTAAATAATGTGTTGACAACCACATCTCCCACCTTGATGTCACTACCTGGCTGTCTATGCACATCAGCTGATTTTTTATATGCCTCCTTAGAAGAGTCCAAACGCTCCTTAAGCAAACTCTGGATAGTTGTCAATACTTCTACGAAGTCATCTGCTGCCAGCACTGACAGGGTGTTGGGGATGGTATCCATGACTGGCAAAAAAGGGGGTCTGTTGCGTTGAAGCATGAAGTGCATTGTTGTATGCGAACTCCGCCAAGGGCAGTTTGGACACCCAATCATCCTGCTGGTAGTTCCCATAACTACGGAGATACTGCTGCAACATGGCATTAGTCCTTTATGACTTTCCATTCGTCTCTGGGTGTCAAACTGAGGTGAAGCACAACTCTACCTTGAGTAGTTGCATGAGCTGCTTCCAGAACGTTGAGGTTAATTGGGCTCACCTGAGATCACTCTGAGAGCACGTGCAACTTGAACACATGGTCTACGAAGAGCTGTGCTGTTTCTTGGGCTGTCAGAAGTCCCTTACAGAGCACAAAGTGTGCAGTCTTAGTGAACAGGTATACCACCAACCAGATCACTGTCTGCTGCTGCGATTCCGGCAGATCAGTGATGAAGTCCATAGCTATGGTTTGCCAAGGGCCTTGTGGGGTGGGCAACGGTTATAGCAAGCCCGCTGGCACTTCTCTGGGTCTCTTCGCCCACTGACACATTTCACAGGCTCTGGCATATTTCTTGACTTTCTCCCTCAACCTCGGCCACCAGAATTGCCTCATCACATGGCATAGCGTCTTGTGCTGCCCCAAGTGTCCAGCTGTAGGGTTATCATGGCATTGACGTAAGACCTTGGCTCAGAGGTCTCCCTCTGGAACATAGAGCTTCTCCTCTATACAGTAGCCCATCCTTTTCCAGGAACCTCTCCACATCACTGGCATCCCCCCGCAGCACCACTAGCTCGCCTTTCGCGAATGCATCCTCCCTTGTCTTCTGCTGGAACTCAGAGACTTCCACAACTGACCCAGCTGCTAGCTGTAGCTGCTCTGGCTTCAAGTTGTGCCTATACACTGGAACTGGCTCATCATCCTGATATTCTGGCTTCCTGGAAAGGGCATCTACTCCTTGATTCAAACTACCGGCTACATACTGGAGTCTAAAATCAAATTTGGCAAAGAACTGCGCCCAACAAATCTGCCGTTGATTGAGACATCTCATCATCTGCCAATACTCTAGATTCGGACTTTCAGTGTGCACCTCCACCTGGTGTCACCCCCTCCACACTTCAAAGGCTTCTTTGATCACTAAAAGTTCCTTCTCCCAAATGGTGTAATTCTACTCGGAAGGAGTCAGCTTCCTGGAGTGGAAGGCACACGGGCGTAGGTTGCCATCTTGGTCTCCTTGAAGCAGCACCACCCCCACCACCCTGTCAGAGGCATCCATTTCCACAATCAGCGACCAGTGAGGGTCTACATGTGCTAGGTATACCGTTGAGGAGAATATGGTTTTGAATTCAAATGCCTGCCACACCTTGGCTGTCCACTGGAATGGCTTCTTGCCCCTCAAGCAATCTGTGAGGCATAGTGAGTCTTGAATAGTCCGGCACAAACTTGCAGTAGTAGCTGGCAAAACCCAAGAATCTCTGCAGATCTTTCTTTGCCTTGGGTTCCTGCCATGACACTATGCTCTGCGCCTTAGCAGGATCCATGTGCATCCCCTCCAGTGTGAGGCAGTGACCTAGGAAATCTACTGTTGATACACGAAACAGACTTTTCCAACTTGGCACAGAGTTGATGTTTCCACAGCCTCTGCAGCACCTCTGTCACGTGACGTACATGTTGCTCTGGGTTCTCTGAGTATATCAGCACATCAAGGTAAACCACCATGAATCTATCCACTAGGCTTCTGAGGACATAGCTGATGAAGGCTTGGAACATTGCTGTCCCTGACTGCAGTCCAAAGGGCATGACCAGGTATTCGAAGCTGCCATATCTGGTGCAGAACACTGTTTTCCACTCATCTCCCTCTCTCACACGGATTGGTTATAAGGCCCCCTCAAATCCAACTTTGTGAAGATTTTTCCTGACCTCAACCTTTCCAATAAATCCCCAATGTGTGGTAGCAGACAGCGATTGAACACCATTATGTGGTTAATCTTCCTATAGTTTGTGCACAATCTAAGTTCTGAGGTACCGTTTTCTTCACGAATAGCACAGGGGCGCCTCCTGGTGCCTTGGGCGGTCTGATGAAACCCGTTGCTAGATTCTTATCCGAAAACTCTCTCAAAACCACAAGCTCTGCTTGTGGCATCAAATAGATGCGACTGGTGGGCAATTGCACACCTGACAGAAGATCTATTTTACAGTCATAAAGTCTATGGGGCAGCTGGCTCTCCTCTCCAGTCAGAGGGCTTACTTGTATGCAAAGATTCCACTTAGACCTCTGAGTGTGGAAACAGATGCAACTTGACTAGTAAATCACTTAAACTACTCTTAAATTAGTTGAAAACATATTAAATATATTATATGGAAGTTTATTTAATATTTTTATTAAATCTACTACTTCCTTACATTTTAAGGCCCTCCACAGCTGCAGAGAGCCTCAGCAAAGCCCTCTACTGCTGCAGGGAAGTGCAGCACATCCTCCACAGTGGTGGGGAGGTATGGCAGGACCCTCTGCCACTGCGGGGAGGCCCAGCAAGGCCCTCCACCACCACAGATATATATCGTGCTATATCATGATGTTTAACTGGTGATATATTGTGATGTTGAAAACCAGATACTGGCCAGCCTTACAGGTAATATGTTTCTTGTTTCCTCGGCACCACCACCTTACCTATCTGAGCAAATTGCCCTCTATCCCCAGATGTTTTAAAAAGGAGGATTAATGGAGGATGAGACTATCTATGGTTTAAAATCATGGTGGCCATGGGGCTCTCTCCAGAATGAAGAGGCAGCGTGGTCCTGAATAAATAATAAATAAAAACATCTTTCATTTTAATAAATAAAATAAAAATGCATGTTTGTGGAGGGGGGTTATTGGTCCGTTTGATTCTTAATGTATTTTTGTCTCGTGTTTATTTTTATGTTGTGAACTGCCCTATGATCTTCGGATGAAAGGCAGAATACAAATTTAATATGCTTCTGGCATCTGTCTGTCTCAGGAGACAATGAGCAGTGCACCTTTATGGGTAAAGTCAGACTGTTGGAGAGTTATAACATCTGCTGTAGCTGTAGAAACTGATATGGGAGAGACGCGTTATGTTTCAGCCAAGGCAGATAAAGGCATCCAGTTGTGCTGATGTAGGTGTACCATGGCATTTCTTCTTTCTGCACTCCTCCCAGAGGTCTTTTCTCCTCTGGTCACTGCTGTGGATGCATGACCTGATTGATTGCCTCCAGGCACTGCAATTGTCTGCAAGAGATTCCCACACTGTGGGGTTGATGGTGCCAGCATTCATGTTATATTCGCAGACAGGTCTGTTGCCTGAAGCCAGTTCTCTGTAGAGCACATCCTTAGGAATCCTGCCATCTTTTATTTTGCAGACATGATCATGCCAGTGTAGACGTCGCTGAGAGTAGAGTGCAAACATGCTAGGAATGTGGGCTTGAGAGAGCACATTTTTGCTTGAGACACTATCCTGCCATATGATGCCCAAAATCTTCCTCATGCAGTGGGATCCAACACACGAGCCTAGTAGGCCTTCATCTTGGTATTGGTCATTAGCATCACAACAAAAAGCTTTTATCCAAGAGAAGCCTTGCGGTGGGGGGGGGGCGAATCTCCCTGTGCTTTAAAAATCAGCTTGGTATAGGTTGTTAGCATCACATTCTGCCATTACCTTTTGGAAAGGCAAGAAATTGGTTGTTAATAGTCATGGCAGTCACCTTTGTTCTTGTAGAGGGTCACAATGCTGGAGTCATGTATGTCTTGTGGCATGGATCCTGCATCCCAACACAAGAGGAAGTAGTGGAGGTGCAGCATGAGGGAGAACTTGAGGCCAGTTTTTAGCACTTCTGTTGGAATTCGGTACTGTCCTGGGACTTTTCCTCATGCCTGAGAGTTGATGGCATTCTTCAGCTCATCGAGGGAGGGAGGACATCCAGCTCTCCCAAGACAGGCAGTGTCTGGATGCTGTCAACTGCTGTGTCAGCAACCATGTTTTCCCACAAGTACAGTTCTTGATAGTGCTCTGCCCACTGCTTCATCTGCTTTCTATTTCACAATATACCAATATATGATTTCATAATATCTTGGATCCATATACAAAAGGTCAGTTATGGTTTAAGGAGGGTTTTTTATTGGTGTTCATCTGTCTCAAGAGACAATGAAGTGTGTCTCCAGGGGTTTAAGGAGTGATACATAACTTTTTGGGTGCCTTCGGTTATGACTGAATTTCAAGCAGAATGTCAAATTATATTAATGATTATATGAGTGAAAATAAAATATAAGGTTGAACAGTGTCTTGGCATGTTACATTCCAATAATTAACAAACTATTTTTCAATAAATATTGTTTAGTGCACTTCATTCAATCTCTCTTTCATAATATGCAAGTTTTGTCAACAGGACTAAACCCTATATTCTTTTGTGCCATTGGAGGATGTCAACCAGCATATCTACAAACACACACACATCACGTTTCTCTATCCAGGCAAGTCAGAGGCACCTCAAGGACACATCCTGCACAGGCAAAAGCACTCAAGGAGGGCACGGAGGATGTCCAGTGAGGGTGCAGTATGGGGACAGTCCTAAGGGGGCTGCCCTGGCCCTAAGGCTTCCCTGAGCAAATGTAGCACTTCGTTGGGTGTCCCCTCAAGGAGGAGTTGGGAGATCTGCTGCCTACTGCGGTATCCTGCTGGACTGACTGGAAATCCCCCCTTGGTCCTTACAGATCCCAAACTGGTAACCATGGAGCGCATCGTTGGAGAGATTGCCTTCCAGCTGGATCGCAGGATCCTCTCCAGCATCTTCCCTGATCGGGTCCGCCTCTACGGTTTCACCGTCAGCAGCATCCCTGAGAAAATCCAGCAGGTGAGGGGAGATTCCCCTGCCCCCCACTCCCCAGTCCTAGCCCTGCTGTGGTGTGTTGACAGGGTGCAATTGAAGAAGATAGAGGAACAGGAACCCTGAAAGCTGCAGCCCAGAGATGGGAAGACGCAGGCCTAGGGGCTAAACATGGCCCCTGAGGCCTTTCTGTTTGGCCCCCCAGGACTTTCCCCAGGCCACATTCCTCTGGCCCTGCTTTGCCCTTGTCCTGGCTCCTACCCAACACCTAGAGGAGAGAAAGACACCTTTATCCAGGCAAGTAATGGTACAGTTTCAGCAGCAGACACCATGCTCAAGCATCGCAGTTCAGGAATTTAGGAGCAGGCCAAGGAGTTAAGGACTGGCGTGGGACGCTCACTCACAAGATTCCCTTGTCGTGCGGGAATATCAAGACTGCAAGAGTGCACACCATCGGAGTGGGGAAGTCTGCTCCATCTGCAAAGGCACTGTCAGCTTCTAGGCCACAAGGCTACACCCTCCAGCTCAGGATCCTGGTCAGTCACTGCTGCCTCCTGTCCAGCCTCCAGTGAGTGGATCAAAGCCCTCCATTGAGTCTTCCTGCTCCACAGGAATGTCAGGAAGAGAGACGACACCCCTGCTCGCCCTTCCAAAGTGACCAAAGCCAGGGTGGAAAGGAGATCCCACTTCAACCCAGGTTCCCCAGCCCTCACCCCCGTTTCTTCTGCATCCTCCATCAGAGCCTGCCAATCCCAGCCCAGTTTTGACAGAGCTGCTGGGCTTATGAGGTCACTCTCTTTGAGTGTTTTTGTCTGGATGGAATGTGTGTCTTTAATCTCTTTATAATGGCTCCGGCTTTCCTGGATGAAGAATGGAGAGTGGTACGTGAGTGACTATAGAAAGCAGCCACTCTTTTCTGTAGGTAAAAACAACAACTGTTGCTCTGCCCACTCGTGCCTCTGGCTCTGCCCACCACTGACGTGCACCCCAAATAAAGTAACCTAGAAGAGGATGTGGCCCTCAAGCTAAAAAGTTTCCCTTATTGCAACTCCTGCCGTGGCCTCTTCTTCTTTCAAAGATGTGTTTATAGGAAGAATCCGTTTATTTCCACTTCTCTCCGTTATGATGTCCAATTCACCACCTGCATCAGTCTGCAAAGTATTTTTAACGCACTCACAAAAACTCATCAGGCTCTTAAAATGCATTTATCCTGATTTATCCATTTTTATACGCATTTTTGCGTAATATATGCATTTCTACAAACAAGTTTCTCCAGTCAATATAATGCAATTGTCTGTGTTCTTTTCATTAACACCTTTCGTACATTATTCTATCTGCATCTCTCTGCACATTTATTGGTTGGAGAATGGGTCCATAAATTCCAGCTGGCACAGAATGTTGCAGCCAGATTGCTGATGGGAGCTTCTGGCCAAGAACGTGGTTGCAGAGGATGGCAACCAAGATGATCAAGGGTCTGAAACCGAGCCTTATAAGGAACGGCTGAAGGAGCTGGATATGTTTAGCCTGGAAGAGGAAACTGAGAGGAGATGTGATAGCCAGCTTCACCTATCTCAAGGGCTGTCACATGGAATATGGAGCAAGCTTGTTTTCTTCTGATCTAGAGGGTAGAACTTGAACCAGTGGATTCAAGTTATAAGAAAGGAGATTTCCACTAAACACCAGGAAGAGCTTTCTGACAGTAAGAGCTATTCGAAATTGAACGGTCTCTCTTGGGACTCTCCTTCCTTGAAGGTTTATAAGCAGAGGTTGTGTGGCCACCTGTCTTGAATGTTTTAGTTGAGATTCCTGCATTGCAGGGAATTGGACTAGATGATCCTTACAGTCCCTTCCAACACTACGATTCTGTCAGGTGTGCATGAAGCCAAGCCCTGTGACCAATAGGACTCTGCAGGACTGGGGCCTTCCTCAGTTTGTTCTGAAGAAGCAAGGCGCGGCCACACAGGTGAGGTTGATTGGTAACTCACAGCACCTGGTGGCAAGAGCCGGGAAGGGATATAAGGTCAGCATTTTCCCTTCAGCTCTTTGCCACAGCAGCACGTTCCCTACCCTACCTTGCTGTGTTTGACTCCTTGACTCCTTGATCCTTGGACCCTTGACTTTGTGACCCCTTGCTTCTTGATCCTTGGACCCCTGACTTCGTGACTCCTTGCTTCCTGACCCTCAGACCCTTGGCTTCTTGACTCCCGGCTCTCTGACCCTCGGACTCCTGGCTTCTGGACTCCCGGCTTCTTGACTCCCATTCCTCAGACCCTTGGCTTCTTGACTCCCGGCTCTCTGACCCTCGGACTCTTGGCTTTCTGACTCCTGGCTTCCGGACTCCCGTTCCTGCTCCCACCCTGCCATCTTGCCCCCGGTCCCGACGTCCCCAGCCAGGACTTCAATCGCTTGTGAACCAGACCGTGACAGATTCTATGAACATGTGACACCATTGTTAAAACAGCTGCACTGCCGTCCCATCTACTATTGAGCCAAGTTCAAGGTGGTATTAATTTACAAAGCCTTGAACATCTATAGGAATGTCGTTGGTTGTTCCCCAAGTTGGTGATGCTCACTTGACAATGAGAAACCAAGTCTTTAGTGCCATAAACCCAGTCAATAAAGATTCAGCAAAAGCCTGCTGAAAACCTTTCTATTCTGCAAGGCCTATGCAGGCAGTTCAGATTGTATCTTTCCACAATGGTTACCTGATGCTTGTTTTTAACCTTTTTACACTTTTAGTGTATGGTTTTCTATATTTTTAATGTTGTAAACTGCTTTGATATATTTTTATGATTGAGTAGTGTGTAAATATTTTTTATAAATAAATAAACTGCGTCGCAAGATCCAGAGGAGCATGAATCTCAAAGGGTAGCTGCGTTTTGCGTCACTGTTTCAAGAAATGCAATTAAAGAACTTCATTTTAAAAGGCAAAATGAACCAAATATCTCCCCCCCTGGTCCCTCATTTGTAGTGGTGTCAAGTTCACTCCTTTTTCCTTTGGTGCAAAACAATAAAGAGAAGTCAGCCTCCATATCCCTCCTGCGCCATGTATTGCTAGGGAGATTCAGGCAGCTTCTGAACAGCCCTGCTTTTTGCTATTTTCAAGTGGCAAAGAACAGAACAGGAAGCAGCCCCCATCCCACAAGGCGAGGAAGCAGCATAGCCCCAGATACGCAAACACAGGGCAAATTTTGTGGTTTCTCTGACCCCTCTCTTTCCAGCACCAACCTGTTAAATGCGAACTATTTGGCTCCCTCCATGCTCAGAATGCAGCCTTGCCTACGTAGCTCAATCTAAAATGATTTTAGTGAATCACTTTCTAATAAATAAATAAATTGATTAATATGATAAATATTTTTTTTCCTGTTTGATTAAGCTTAAGGGTAATTTTTGGTTTACGTAAGGCCCTAGTGATATCTGCGTTAAATGCAGTAGCCATTGTCTTCCGAGAGATGGATGCCAACAACGAAGGAAGCAGAAATGTACAGTGGTACCTCAGGTTAAGAACTTAATTCGTTCCGGCGGTCCGTTCTTAACCTGAAACTGTTCTTAACCTGAAGCACCACTTTAGCTAATGGGGTTTCCTGCTGCAGCCACACCGCCGCTGCACGATTTCTGTTCTCATCCTGAAGCAAAGTTCTTAACCCAAGGTACTATTTCTGGGTTAGCAGAGTCTGTAACCTGAAGCGTTTGTAACCTGAAGCGTATGTAACCCGAGGTACCACTGTGGCTGCCTATTCGCAACATGTGCCTACAACTTTCTCTGACTTTGGGGTTTGAACTCTCAAACTGACTGGCTAGGGTTGATGGGGGGATAGCAGCTCCAAACCAAAGGAGGGTGCCAGCTTGGGGGTGGGGAACTGGCACTGACCATAGGGAATAATCAAAGATGCCTCTCCCCCCTCTTCTGAAGGTGCCAGGAGCGGCAGGAGTTTTTCCCATTTGACCCTCCTGGCTGCATAAACCTGCAGCTCCCTAAAGGCGGCTGGGGAGGCTGGGCTTCTTCTCGGGGGCTCAGAAACCCCCTTTTCTGACGCTGCCTCTCTCCCCACAGGCAGCCAATGACCCCCTGTCTCCAATGTCAGCAGAGGAGCACCAATCCATGGTGGAGCGCTACGACACCATCATGAATATGCTGAAGCCAAAGGGCTATGACCCAAACTTCCACTCCAAGTTCACAGAGCACATTGTCAACACCTACGGAATCCTGAAGGAGCGCCCAGATGCGGCAGGCCCCGAAGGAGACGTCTACAACAACCCGAGCTACCTGCGGCAGGTGATTGAGCAGATCGTGCCTCCGGAGAAGATGACGGACTGCCTGACCCTGCTGGACTGCCTCAGTTTCATGGCGTCCACGGACGGGAAGCCCTTGTTCATCTGGTGACCATCCGCCTGTCCCCCTCCTGGCATGCCATCCCACTACAGCCACAATAAACCATCTGGAAACAGCTGGCAAAGCGTCTCGTGCAAAGTCCATCCCAAGGGGGGGGGGCCTGCCGCCACCACAGTCCTTCCGTTACCTGGGAGGAAGCCATTCCGAGGGCCCCTCGGGGTCTTCGACAAACGGACCCCAAACCCCACAGTCCTAGGCTGGCGGAAAGCTGCCTCAATCCCAGAACCAGAAGTCCAAAGCAACATGGCGGCTGGCTGAAAAGATGCCGTCCAGTCGGCTGCCAGTGTTATATACTGTATTTTTCTGTGTATAAGACGACCCCCATTTTTTGAGCCCAATATTAAGAAATAAATAATTACAACATTCCGTGTATAAGACAACCCCCAATTTTAAACTTTGGGGGGAAATATAGTCTTATACACGGAAAAATCCTGTAATCTTTAGAGGGCGTCCAAAGGCAGCCCTGTATATGGAAGCTTTGTGTGAGGTTTTATTATGTTTTTATATATGTTGGAAGCTGCCCAGAGGCTGGGGAAACCCAGTCCGATTGGAGGGGGGGCTACAAATAATACATAATTATCGTAGCCCCCCCATCAGACTGGGTTTCCCCAGCCACTCTGGGCAGCTTCCAACATACCATATTTTTCCATGTATAAGACTAGGTTTTCTCCCTTAAAAAGAATGACAAAATGTGGGGGCGTCTCATACACGGAGGCCATCTCCCCCATTTTCTTAAATCGGAGTCCCCCAAAATAGAGGGCGCCTTATAGATGGAAAAATACGGTATATAAAAACACAATCAATGAGCCGATTGAAAGGTGAGATCATTAATTAATTGGCCTTGTTAATGGAAAAAACCGAGGGCTCCCTTGGACAAAAACAAAGACACCAACCAGGATAACTTGGAGTACTCCCTTTTGTATAATAAAGTAGCAAATGTAATTCACAATTGGGTTTAAATCCAAAACTATGTGAATCTGCTTAGAGGTTTTTGAAGAGCAGCTGAAAGCCCAAGTCACAAAACCGTATTATGAATGGTGTAAGAGTGGAATGGTTATACAGTGACTATACAATACAGTCTTAATAATTCAGTTTAAGTTTGAGGGCTATGTAATTCTCCTTTTATTAAAGGAAGCAGAAATACTCCTATAAGGCTGTTTGTTCTCTCCCTTGTCTCTTAGGACAGGATTCCTTTCTGTGATGTAGGAAACAGTTTTGAGGCAAACTAATTCGGCAAATGTTGGCATTTTAATCATGCAAGTGAGAACTTTGTGTGGTATATCAACTGACTTTGTTACTATGCGGTTGGCAGACTTGGTTGACTCTATATTTTCTGGTCGTTACTTTTGTCCTTGGAATTAAACTGAAGTGTTCTGGAAGCCTACTGACTTGAAAGGGAAACTTAAGCCGTGTTTTCCTCCCTTAGTACTGTACAAATGAGCGGCTTCTCTCTGCAAGTGGGCTGCTCTGCTTTCACCACCGGTAAAACACTTCTGCATGTGCCTTTTCAAAATGGCTTTTATCATTACTCTCCTAGTGTAAGGTATTGAGATAAGAAAGCATATTGATATTCTGCTGTCACACTGAACTTCCAAAATGGGGAAATTGTGCACTGACCTCAGGTACCCAGTGCTTTGCTCTTCATCCTTGTCAAGTACCCTCAGACAACAACCCCTACCTACCACAACACTGTACAACTGGGGTGCCTTAGAGCCCATGGAGTGTTTTAATTTGCTGTGTCTTTAAGTCAAACACATCTTGCAGGGGATAACTTGGAGCAAAACAGCAGCCTGTAGGCTTGGCCTTTATTGAACTGTTGCAACAGGGTGTTCCCCTCACTTGCAGGAGAGAGGAGGGACCCAGAAAAATGGTGTGCAAGGTCTTAGAAAGACTTTTGAAATTGCCACCCTGTAGATCAAGCCCACCCCCAGAAACATCATACATACATCACAGAAGAGGCGGTCCAAAATAGAAATTTTAATATTTTTCTCCTGTTGTTGTTTATCTCCTGTCTGGCAGGTTACCTGTTAATGCTTACTTGATTGGATACCCTGAGGAGCCTGGCCAGTCTTTTGTAATGATAAATACTTAGTTCCTGAGCCAGGTCACAGGCTCACACCTTATTCATATCTTAAATGTGCCCTTAAGACGGGATTTGTGAAGGAAAAGACAATGGGGAGGCTTTTCCAGTTTGACCTTGCAGAGAAAACATTGGCTCAGTTTAGGAATCAAAATGGTTCCAGGTCGATCTTCCTGTGCTGATCTATCTATGTGCTTGGTTGGTACACTTAGGAACATCACCATATATCTAAGACCATAAAATTCCTATTACAGCCTAAATCAATTTGGCAAAGTGGGGGGATGAAGAGGAAGTCTACGCCCCTTCTTGGATACCTTTCTGCATGGCGGGCATTACAAGTAAACCATTGGGAGAAAGTTCTCAAGCTATAATCCAGCCAAAGCGTTTTATTTCCTACTTGTACCTCGCTAGGAAAGTTTAATCTTGAGCTCAATCCGGAACCTGAACCTGAGCCACTTTCAAACGTCAGAAAGGCCTCCTTCCTCGCGGTCTTTGCCGGACCTTTCCGGCTCCTATTTCCGGAGAGGAGCCCCCCCCCTTATTTCTAGCCCCCCATTCGGAAAACAGTGAAAACACAATATCCATCTGAAATCACAGGCAGCCATAACAAAGTCCCCCCCACTTACTTACGCCTCCAGCGTCCCGAGAAGAAGCTCGTCCTCCGGAAAGGGAGCCGCGAAGGCCCCAGGCGCACCTCTGTGGGGAGGCAGCCCCATAGCTTGGGGGGGGTCCTAGTTGTGACAGGGGTCTGCACCCCCCGAGACGCCAGGCCGGGTTCTGGGGGGGAGCTTCTGGGGGGGCCCCCATGGACCCCCTCACAGACCCACCGGGTCAGGGTCTGGGGGTGAAATCTGAGGGGAGAGGCTTGGGGGGCGCAGCAGCAGAGCCAGTCCCCCCCCCCACAAAAGCTTTTCCTTCTTCAGGCTGCCCCATCTGCCATGGGGGGCTGTGGGGGGGGGGTGTCCTGAAAGGCAACTCCGTCTAAGGATGGCGGCTGCCTCTAAGGCCCCGCCATGTTAAGGGGCGAGGGGGGTTTGCCCTCAGAAAGCGCCTCAGGCCGGCCTCGCTCTCCAGAGGAAGCGGGAGCCCCGTCGAGAGAGATGGGCAGCAAGAGGGGGGGCGCCCCCCAAATCCCCCCAGGTCCCATGGCGCCCCCCAAAGGCGAACCCCACACATCCCCTCAGAGGGGAAAAGGCGCCAAGAGAGGAGAAGAAAAGGCGGGAAAAGGAGGCGCCACTTGGACAGAGAAGCGGGCCGAGGCCGCGGGAGGAGGGAGGTAGCTCTCTTTCTTTCTTTCTTTCTTTCTTTCTTTCTTTCTTTCTTTCTTCTCTCCGGGAAAGGGCTGAAGGCGGACTACAGATTAGCCGGGGGGAGCACAAAGGAGGGGGGCAATAATAAAATGTCAATTTTTTATAAGAAAGAGAACCTTCCTCCACAGAAAAAAGCAGTGAAAACAGACGCGGAAAGAATTTTCTATATTTATATATCTAGAATCCTAGAGTTGGAAGAGACCCCAAGGGCCATCGAGTCCAACCCCCTGCCAAGCAGGAAACACCATCAGAGCACTCCTGACATATGGTTGTCAAGCCTCTGCTTAAAGACCTCCAAAGAAGGAGACTCCACCACACTCCTTGGCAGCAAATTCCACTGTCGAACAGCTCTTACTGTCAGGAAGTTCTTCCTAATGTTTAGGTGGAATCTTCTTTCTTGTAGTTTGGATCCATTGCTCCGTGTCCGCTTCTCTGGAGCAGCAGAAAACAACCTTTCTCCCTCCTCTAGGTGACATCCTTTTATATATTTGAACATGGCTATCATGTCACCCCTTAATCTATATCAGGACCACCTTCGTCCATGGGGAAAAAATAGGTCAAATATAGAATGCATATTTAAATAAGCATAACTATAATATAAATATATATTTTTCAAAAATTTTATTGGTTTTTACAATATTATAAGCAAACAAACAAACACGCGCAAGACAAACAAAAATAACAAACAAAAATCGAAGCCTTATTGAAAATTAGAGTTATTAACTTTGTTAAATGACTTCCTTGCTTCCCCTTGGTTGGATTTCATTGCATGTCCTTGTAACGGTTTTCCAAATCCCATTTTTTTTTAAATTTAACTTAATCATTAACATCCTTAAATCTTCTCCTTATAGAGTTAACATATTAATTTATCACTTAACATAAACAAAATCCTGTAATATACTGTAATATAAATATAAAAATATAAAAATATAAATTTAAGAAACCACAGAAAGAGGGGGAAGGAAGTCAAGTCTTGAAATGTTAAAAGGATTGTAAACTTGTTGAAATGTATAAAATGGAAAATCGTAAGTAAAATAAGAAGAAGATGACCAGGGCTATGAAATGCAACGAAGAGAAAGGTTGGCATCAAGTCCCAAGAGTCACGTCTGGCCTTAAAAGAGGGAATTTCCGCCCAAAGAGGGCTGCTCAAAACCACAAGAAGCAGAGATCCAGAGAATTCATGTCTCAGGTCAGGAAAGGGATCGAGAGAAGGCCAGCATGGCTAATGGGCAGAGTCAAGGCAAGGAGACCTCCCTCTGGAAAACACAGACAAGGACAAGAAGATGAACACACACACAATGCAAACGGAGATGTATAAAAGAAGAAGGATAAGAATTGGAGGAGTATATCAATAAACACATGAAGACCAACAATTTATAAAATTTAAGACTTACTGATAAATTTCCCTGTCAGGGGGAAACATGGGGCATAAATAAATATACAGAAATAGTAGTAGTGGTGGAATTATAGTTAAAAGGGACTTGAGGGTCCTCTAGTCCAACCAGCTGCAATGCAGGAATCCCAGCTATAGCATCCATGACAGCTGGCCTTCCAACCTCTGCTTAAAAACTTCCAATGAAGAATAATATTTATTTGTTTTT